TCCTAGCATTGTTGGGATTATTAAAGGAGTGAACTGAATATATGTAAAGTGGTTAGAACAGTTGCTGGCACATAATAAGTGCCGCATAAGAATTAGCTAATATGAGGAGTTGGTTTTGGCAACTGATGAAGAGACCAAAGAAGCAGCAGGTATTATAGCTATGTATATCCTTTGCTCATTTCTGCCCAAAGATCCAGGGCCAAAGCCTTGCTACCAGCAGGAATTCTGGCCTATCAAGAGGTGCATTGTTCCTTTCAGACACAGGCATGCTTCCAGCACTTGCTCCCAAGGCCCATGAGAAGAGGACATGATGGATCCATATGGCAACATTTCTTCAGCACAATATGTCCATGCACTAAAAATTGAGCCTATGTTTCCTTGCACATCGGTTGCTGGGAAAGATGTGTCAAATTAATAAAAAAATATTCCTAGGTATTTTGTTTTCTTTTCAGCTATTATAAATGGTATTGAGTTCTTGATTTGACTCTTAGCTTGACTGTTATTAGTATATAGAAATGCTACTGATGTGAACATTGAGTTTGCAACCTGAGATTTTGCTGAATTTATTTATCAAGGAATAAACTTAAACAAGGAGGTGAAAGACTTCTACAAGGAAAACTACAAAACACTGACGAAATAAATCATTGATGATACAAACAAATGGAAAAACATTCCATGCTCATGGATTGGGAGAATCAACATTGTTAAATGTCCATAATGCCCAAAGTTGATTAACAGATTCAACATAATTCCCATCAAAATACCATCATTTTTCACAGATCTAGAAAAAATAATCTGAAACTTCATATGGAACCAAAAGAGAGCCCAAATAGCCAAAGCAATCTTAAGCAAAAAGAACAAATCTGGAGCCGTCACATTACCTGACTTCAAATTATACCACAAGACTATAAAAACCAATACAGCATGGCACTGGTATAAACATAGACACACAGACCAACAGAACAGAATAGAGAACCCAGAAATAAAACCATATAGCTATGACCAACTGATTTTTGACAACGCAGACAAAACCATACACTGGGAAAAGGATGCCCTATTCAATAAATGGTGCTGGGGAAATTGGATAGCCACATAGAGAAGAATACAACAGGATCCCTATCTCTCACCATATACAAAAATTAACTCAAGATGGATAAAAGACTTAAATGTAAGAACTGAAACCATAAAAACTATAGAAGAAAAAGTATGAAAAGCTCTTCTAGATATCTGCCTAGGCAAAAAGAATTTAAGACTAAGACCCCAAAGGCAAATACAGCAACAACAAAAACAAATAAATGAGTCTCAATTAAGAAGTTTCTGCACAGTAAGAGAAACAATCAACACAGTAAATAGACAACGTACAGAATCTGAAAAAATATTCACAAACTATACATCCAAGAAAGGACGAATAACCAGAATCAACAAAGAACCCAAACAAATCAGCAAGAAAAAAAAAAACAAATAACCACATCAAAAAGTAGGCAAAAGACACAAACACAGTTTTTTCAAAAGATAGACAAATGGCCAACAAACATATGAAAAAGGCTCAACATCACTAATCATCAGGGAAATGTCAATTAAAACCACAATGAGATACCACCTTACCCCTATCAGAATGGCCATTACTAAAAAATTAAAAAACAATAGATGTTGGCATAGATGCAGTGAAAAATACAGCAGATATACTGTTTCTGGGACTGTTAATTAGTACAACATCTATGGAAAACAGTATAGCGATTACTCAAAGAACCCAAAGTAGACCTACCATTCAATCCAGCAATCGCACTACTGGGTATCTATCCAAAGGAAAAGAAGTCATTATATCAAAAAGATACTTGAATGTTTATCACAACACAATTCACAATTGCAAAGATGTGGAATCAACATAAGTGCTCATCAATTCATGAGTGGATAAAGAAAATGTGGTATATACACACACACACCAAGGAGTAGAACTCAGCAATAAAAGGGAATGAAATAATGCATTTTGTAGCAACTTGGATGGAACTGGAGACCATTATCCTAAGTGAAGTATCTCAGGAATGGAAACACACCATACGTCCTCACTAATAAGTGGGAGCTACATGATGGGTATACATGGTCATAAAGTGTTGTAAAGGACATTGGTAATTCAGAAGGGGGCAGGGTGGGAGGGAGGTGAAAGATAAAAACTTATGTATTGGGTACAACACACATTATTCTGATGACAAGCATACTAAAAGCCCTGACTTCAGCATTATATAATTCATCCATGTAACAAAACATTTGTATCCCCTTAATATTCAGAAACAAAAATAAAAATAGAAATTTAAGAAAATTTAAAAAGTTTAAAAATAAAAAAATATATTTTTTTAAAAGTCACAAAATAATTAAGCCCCCTTTTTTCCTGAACAACTATTCCCAGAAACCCAGGCCTTCAGGTTTGATTAGTATATGGCCAGCACTTCACCCATGAACATACTCATTGAATAACCATAGTGATAACCTCAGCCCCTAAGCTTTGCCTGTGCTCCTTCCTTGTTGAAGGGGCCAAACCACAAGACCCACTGTATTGGCCAATCCTGGGCAGACTAATCACTGAGGTACAGAGGAAGCTCCTCACAGAGCTCGATAGGGAAGGGGAAGGAGTCCTGAACAGATTGATTCCAAAAAGTTAGAAAGCACGCAAGACATCTGTGAAAATGTGATAAATGACAACTGTTCATAAAAAAGTCAAATAATAAAAACCACTTAATATAAAAATAACAATGCTTATTATATCTGAATAGCCAGTGACACTTTACAAAGCAATTTTAATCTTTTACCTTATTTGCCACCCCCCAACATGATTTTACAGGTGAGAAGAAAGAAAACTGAGAGAAAAATGGCTCTAAGTGGCAAAGCTGAAACTTTAATTCAGGTCTTGCCTCTGAATACAGAACATTTTCCACTCAACAATAAAAGAAGAAAATACGCACTAAATATAGGTCAAAGACAAACAGGATTAAAAGGCTGCCAAAACATAGAGACTAAAGTGTAAAAATGCAATGCAACAATCTTCAGTGAAGCTACTTTGGTTTCTTGGTAGTCAAGAACAGCAGAGTTTTTTAAGAAAAGGGACTTTCACAAGGTCTTAGGTGCAGGCTGAGCAATGTAAGGATAGGCAGTGGGGGTGGGGTGTCAGGGGAAGGTATGTACACACACACCTCTGGACCAAATTTCAAACTATTGTGAAATCCCTTCATATTTGGCTACTTAAGAATCAAATGATTTCAATGGGTTAGAGACTCAGACCACACACAACATACATCACACTACTTCCAAAGTGTGGGTGGCAGCAAGCACATTGCCAAGTACACAGTAATATATATTTGCTGATTTGGTTGGATCTATGCAATGAAAACATATAGTCTTATTAAAAACTCCCACAAATATCTTATCCTCCCCAAATTAGGTATTGCCATAAAATGTCAGCTGAACCCACGTAGAAACAGTCAACCTTTTGTGAATGGTATAGATCAAGAGGAAATTAGAAACTTATTTCTTATCACCAAATTGCTACCATATTATTCTGATATGAAACCGAGACCTTCCCAAAAAAGAGGCTGAAATATCAATATCATACCAAAGTTTATTGATTACATCAAACAAAAATTTCTGTGATGAAAAAGGCAAGTTGCATTCATAAAAGATGGCATTCACATTCATTTTAGAAAGCAACAACGTAGATGTAAAAAATTGCTTAAGTGAAAAAAATGTAATATTGCAGTCCTGTTTTGCAAGCTGAAAAATGACTTTGTCAACATTTGCACAAAATCTGCATTTATATACTGCACGTTATTAAAAAATTCCATCACTAAATTATATGAATTTTGCAAATTTAGGCTTACATTTATACCGTTGCTGGTGTATATGTGGTAGGTATGGAATGAACATTTTCAGTTTAGTAGGTAACATCCTCAAACAATGGACAACAGTTGTGAAAATTACAAGGACATTTTGATAGCTCAAAATTATTCCAATTATGGGTATATGATCCTATTATTACATTTTCCTCTTTTCTCTGTCATAAGTAGAATGGTCAGATTGTGGTGCTTAGGAATACTGGATGGCTTATTTCAAGTTATTCCATTTGCTAACCCACAATAGCCATTTTTTAGCTTTTTAATAAAATATTTTTCAAAAAGGAAAGCCAGGTCCCTCTCAAGGATCTAGACCCTGCTATGACATTGCCATTCTGAATTTGAGCTGCAGTATACAGTGTAATGTGTAGCTGAGGGGTGATTCTAAATTCCCCTTACTCCTCATCTCACTCTCTTTCTGGCTGTAGGAAATTTTACATGCAACCAGTTATATTTCTACTACCCTGGATATTCTGATTATGTCAACTTTCCAATGGTTCTGCATTAAATAAGCCTCTCTATTGTGGCTCTCTTGTTTGTATTCACAGTCCCTATAGTTCTTATGTAAAACAACAATACAGATATAATAACTGTAAGAAAATAAGAACAACAACAACAAAATATCAAAAGCTTTCCTGGGTTAGACATTTTAGCTCTTTGGAATAGGCAAAGAATATAAAGACTTTGTTTTCAGCAGCTTATCTCAAATACAGGCTACCAGAACAGAACACACTTACATAAGCTGTGAATGACATTTAACAAAATACTCAAAAATAATACTGACAGATGAGAATAAATGAAATAATGAAAAGGGGTCAGTAATGATAGAATAGTTTTTGATAACTGAAATAATGTCTTTTCTAGAATTTAAGAAAAATTACACCTAAACATTAACACAAAATATATGTGGAAGAATCAAATGTGCCATATGGACTATATAAACATATTGATACAGATTGACTCCAATACTTTTCCAAATCAAGGTACAATATAAACATTAATAATAGTACAGGCATGCCAGAAAGACAAACACAAATGAAAACTGATATGAAAATATTTTTAAAGGCCATTTCAATCTAGCAAATATGGTCATTTATATATCCAAAAAAGTGTATAATTTTAACATTGAATAAATACATTTCACATTTATTTTATGTTTTAAGTGAACTGATTAGGAGGCTAAAACCTCCTTTTAGTCCAGTAAACCAAGGACTTTACCAAGGTCAATCTCATGGTTTAGAGTTAGACCATTGCCCTGACCCAACTTAGCTACAAGAGACAACAACATTCACGTTCATAGAGTCATGGTTCTACAGGCTAAACCACCATTTTGGGATGGATCCCTCCTCTTCCCAAATTGGCAAGTTAAAAAAAAAAAAAAGTGCTGCATATATGCATAAATGCAACCGCTTTCAAATAAAAACCGTTAACAGTTTAAAATAAGCTATTCTTCCTTCCTTTCCACATAAAGTTATAAAAGGTTGATGTTCAGATTGGCCTTTATTTTTTTGTGTAACTATGGTTTGACCTACCTTACCTATATTCAGTAAAACTGACTTTGGAAAAATTGGTTTGTTTCCTAACTATTTTGAGGGGCTACCTTGTGATTGGAAATGTTTGATACTTTATTTTCAAGTCTAGTAGCCTTACACCCATATGTGGGGATTAATTCAGAAGAATAAAAATAAATAAATATTTTCCATTCCCACAAAATTACCAGGAGTTAATACTTTCTACGTAAGTGTTCAAGGTATTTTTTGGCAAGGATATTCTACCGAGACACACTTTGTGTGTGGGTGAACAGAAAGGATTAACTATTCTGTCCGACTTACTGATAACATTTAGTCCTTCTGTATTTTCAAGTATTCCTTACACGTTTGAAAAAAATAATTTAAGATGATCGTTTAGCAGAAATGAGAAATGTGATCCAAACAGCTTATTTCTTCTGCCAGGCAAAAAAAGTAATATTAGCAAAATCTGTTCATTCTCATTGCAAAACTTCTACTTTATACTACTGTCCTTAAATCCATTCACAAAGTTCATGGGTTAAAAGAGCACCCATTTGGTAGTTGTATTATCCTGTCTAAAGCCAGAATTATAAGTAGTCTTGCTTTTAACTTTCATATAATTCTTAACTTATAGCTTTGGACATAAAGGCTACTTACAATAATTGTAAATATTTATGGGAATCACTTGGTATTTTAATGAACATTTATTCTGAAACCTAGACATGAGAGTGGTTTAGTTTGTTGCATATTCGAGTATCCTGAGATAACATTTTGTAGTTTTCTTCATGCTTTCCTTTTTAGCGGTAACCACTGTCAACATGCTTGTAGAACAATAACATAGGCAGTTCAAGATTCGGATTCTGAAAAATTTAAAATATACAGAGTTAAAGGGTTTATTTTAATAATAATGTGAAACCATCTGTTTAGCATTTTCAAAAATAAATCAAGTAGTAAATTTTGTTATGAAAGCAAAGGAACTGTCTTAACAAAGTGCCAAGTTTTATTCACATGCAGGGGGAGAAAAACAGCGATACTATAACCAGATTTTAATCCTTTATTCATCTATCAGCTGAATAGATCCAGGCTTGCTTTTTGCTTTTGGATTGCTCCAGGGCTCTCCTAATACTTTTTACCACTGGGATTATCTACCATAACAGAGGTTTAGCTTGCTATGATCTTTTCCTCTAGGCTGGGAGCTCCTTGAAAACAGGGACATTATATTTATCTATCTCCAGCACCTAGTACAGTGTCTAGCACATAGCAGATGCTCAGGAAATGTTGAATGAATGAATGGGTTACTTTTTTTTTGGTTGTGTTAGTTTTGACAGAAGTTTGAAGATATATTCAGTTTTGGAAGGTTATTCTGAAAATATTCTTCCCTTACTGAAAGAAGCATGCCCCTTCCCATAACATTGAAGTTAATTTTCTTTTTGGTAGATCATGTATCTATGAAGTCAATTGACTCTGCTGTTTTTCTTACGCATTGTCTTTTTAGAAGAGAAACCATGACAATTTCCCTAACAAATCTGTATATTCTCTGTCCTCTTAAACATCATCAAATGCTGTGATGAGGATGGGGCAAGAAAAACTGATCACCAAGTATAATTCAGGTATGTTGAGAGGTGGAAGTCATATGTCAAGGGAGGGAGCCTAATTTTGATTCTCCACTCTAAAACTCAACCTTTTTGAATCTCAGTAGTGGAAGGACTTAAATAGTGTGCTATTTTCTTCCCATTCTGAGACACTTTCCTTGCCATAGCTGGACTACAAGTCTGTTAGAATACTTTCCACTTTTATTTGTTTCACATTCTCCAGAATCACTTAGGTCTTCAGAGCTTTGCAGGGTCATGGTGACTCTAACCAAAATAAGGTTGCCATTTACACTGAGAACATATGAATGGAGTCAGGTAGCTCCTCTACCAACCAAGGAACAAATTAGGTGGCTAAACTAACTGCCAAATATTTTCCTTGGAGGAGAGATAACACTACATGAAAAACTATTCCTGGAAAAAATAACTAATTAAAAATAAAACAATTTAAAAAAATACTTCCTCAGTTCTGTGTTAGACATTGTAGGAGATAAGGCCCTGGAGAGGCCAAAAGCCGTAGCAGAGTCTGCTACCCAACCCAGTTCCCCACACCACAGACCAAGCTAAAGCAAGCAATCCAGAGGGATACAAAATTAATGGAAACAGTACAGCTGAAATGTACAGCTAAAATCACACAGCTTAGAACAAGGTAATCTCGGACAAAAGGGTCAAAGACTTTGAAGGCTACTGTGAAGCAGATTCATTACCGAGGGAAACGTATACAGGTGAGTTGTTCAAAAACAAATAAAAAGATGCTGACTGTGGCAAAATGAGTCTGCTTCTGAAATAAGAGTGCAGATGTAGACTGTGATGAACTGCAGGAGACAGAAGAATCAACAGATTCATTAGTTTAATTTTTATTCTTTGCCAGAGGGTGGGGGAGTTGACAGTTGATGAAAAAGTGGGCCTATAAGGTAGACTCACAATTGTTAGCTTCAAAGTGAACTGACGCACAATTTTATTCATGATGATCATTAATTTTTATGTGTGCATGAAAGACGACCCTGCCATAAGCTGTATAGAGTTGTTTCCAAGCTGACAAGCTTGTAAGCCTTGTTCGTGAATTACTCTAAATTCTCATGGATGGATAAAAGACCTCCAGAGGTCTGGGTGCCAGAGACCCCCTGCCAAGGGAAATACAGAATGCACATAAAGGAGTCATTCTGAGTTGAAGGGTTCATCCCACGGCATATCAATTCCTTTCAAATATTTTTTGGGGGTAAATGAAATAATATGTTATAAAATGAACTTACTCATTTTGGGAAATATTAATTATGAAACATTTTATATCATTAGGCAAGCATCCCCCTGAATAGCCAGGAAAGATTTTACCTCTGAAAGTTGAAACATTTAGTTTGACTAAAAGTTTGCATTAAAAAGAGTTATGATTAGAGTAGACTGGTTCATTAATATATATTTGGAGATCAGACATTTACAAGGACATTAAGTGTATACAGTACCTGCAAACACACAGACACAGCACATGAAGGTACAAACACATTTAATTATTTTCACATAATTTTCACATGCAATGCTAAACTGACTTGATATTATACAAATGCAATCTTGGAATATTTATTTTCAATTTCCCAAATTATCTTTATAAATCAAAATTACATTTCATGATTAGTATTAATGAGCATTTTCACATGATGGTACTGCCATGACAGCTTGCCCCTTACAAATTAAATATACTGTATTATGATTCAGCTCTGAATTTGGGGGCCTTAGAAAATTTGAAATGTATATTTTCTCATATTCCAAGTAATGCATCTTTATATTTTTGCAAAGAATAGTATAAAGTTCACCACACCAACAGCAGAGAAAATTTAGAGAGTGATATTTTCATTTTTTCTTTATAATGCTGTTAATCTGTTTCTTTAAAGCCAGCCCACTTGTTTAACACTAGGTACCTGTTACAATATATTAGATTCGTCTGAGAATGTTCGTAAAAGAAGAGGTCTGACTGAAGGTCTGGCGGATAATGAGTCAGATGCCATTCTACAGCTCAGATTCCTCTGTAATAGTGAGGCAAAGATACTTAAAGCATTTAGATAATTGGTTAACCTACCTGGTGATAAAAATACGTAGAAGAAAAAAATCATTTCCCATAGACTGCCCTTTTGGCCAAAAGTGCAAATGATTACACTATATAGCAAACACGTAACATTCAAATGAATACAAGTAAAGGCCTAAGAAAGTCTCCAACTCGAATTGAATTGTTTTTGTGGTAAAAGTAAAGAGACAATAGTAGTAAAGTAGCAAACTTGGGTATTTGAAATGGCACTGGTAGGTTATATGGTAAGATGAGTCAATATGGTTTGATTAGTAAACCTTACCATCCTTTTGGTGAACACCTCTGAGAGTTGTGCCGGTGCTGTGAGTGTATCAATCAAAGAGAAACTTGTGCAAAACACTCCTTTCCTGGTGAACAGACTGGCTCTCACACGCCATGGCTACTACTGCATACTGTGGATCAATGAGACTACAGACCTATAGTTCAAGCTTTTGAAAATGACTTCCTCTCCAGTGTGACAGTTTGGAAGGTGAACAAATGATTAAAAGAAAATGACAAAACTGTCTATCAATAGAAGATATAAAAATGAATCATGAGAAGTAATTTTTCACAAAGAATCAGAAAATGGTGTCAGGCAAATAAGAATGCAAGCAAGTTGGTACATTAAGAAAGGAAATCACCTTATTCACTCCAAGAGAAACTGTGATTGCTGGAAGTTTGAGAAAGCATGAAGATAGTAGATGTTCCTGAGGAAGGGAGGCGTTTCGTTACCTTGTTCACAATTGCACAAAAGGTGGAAAATTGCAGTAGAAAAGAGAAATGCAGAAACCAAAAAAAAAAGTAAATATTCTCTGAAATGTAAGACATTTAAAAAGAAACTTTGAGAATTCGAAGTCGACATGCTAGTTTTGAAGACATTACTTCTTAAAGTAAAAGTAGAGTTAGAGTTAGGAATAGTCTATGATTATGTGCCCACTATTATTTTTCCACATATCGACTGAAAATGATTTTGTTAATGGGAAAATTGCCTATTTTGAATAGTTTTAAAATATGCTTCTCATTAAAATAAGACTTATCTCTAATCATTAATTCACTAATCTATATTTGTTCAAAATCCGTTGGTCAGAGAGCTACGTCCAGGGCCATCACCAATCAATGTTAATTTAACTATCTCCCTTTTGCGAATCCACAGGTACATTATGAAGGGACTGACTGCCCTTGGGCAGCTGCAGGTTAAAAACTTAATCAAAACTAAAGTAATGGGAAAACATCTGGTGATATCATACTTCAGTCCCATTTACTTCTGGACCAATGCTCAACTTCCTTTCTTCCAAAATAATTTGATTGGTTTCCCTGTTTTTCCTACAGAGACCTCTTTAGTAAGGTAGGCTGAATTTTTCCTAGGTTAAGTATGATTTTTCCTTTTAAAATACTTATAAGATGTAAAAATTGATAAAGTTTAACTAAAAAACCTAAGGGGTTACTTTTCCTTCTTATTCTGTACTTGAAATTATAAGGTAATTTAAAGACTTGGTTTTAGCATTGCCCAAGCAAAACAGAGGACGATGAGTGGTCAACTATGTGGATGAGTTGAACAACTCTGCTAATCAAGATTACCCACATTATTTACTTAGTGGCTAATAAAAATAGGCTTAGAAAATAAAACCAGCTAAAGTAACAAATATATCCAGCAGAGTCTAATAAACAATCGAATTTTTAAAGGGCAAATACTTCAATTTATTCACATATCTTGACATAACTACATTTTTCCTATTAATATTTTACCTTAAATGAAAGTTCTTGATAATATGCAAATTACCAATTGATAAAGCTAAAAAAAATAAAGATTGAGTTTCTGAGAAAAAAATTTTAATTGCTTTTATCTTCAATGTTGTGGGCAAAAACCTTGCAAAAAGATTAAGATGATACCAAGTCCCCCATCCCCATGTTTAACATACAAGCCTAACTATTGAAGACTACAACCATGATAAGAACATTTTGGTGTGCTCAAAAACTTGCACGCTGTCATCAAAGTATTTCTATGAAGCACAAATTTTAGGGGTTAGCAGATTAGGGGGTAAAATTACTTTATAAAGGAAATAAGAGGAAATATGAAAGTAAAGAAAGCAGTAGAAAGCATGGAAAGAGTATCTAAAGCAATAAAAAACTGATGTAGCTAGCAATTGGCAGTGGGGAGGGGAGATGAAGAGGACAGGAAATAATGAGCTAAAACAATGAAATTTCTACATTCCTTTGCAGTCATCTAGAGCATTGACACTAGCTCAATTAGCAGTATGTCAAAGAGGCCAATGGATAAAGGCCCATCTAAACAGCCACAACATTAGAATTCAACTTTATTTTTGTCTAATCCAATTCACAGGCACTATTGCCCTCTGAACCCAGTTATATATGACACCATAAGAATCACAATAATCATTATTATTATTATAACAATAAATTTTATTCTCCAAAATTCCAAAGTGCTTTCTCTGAGAATTTGGCTCAAACAACTGATATTCTTCCCTTCCCTGTTCACCACTCTTAAAGAGCTCCTTATCTACATAATGGAGTATTTCTTTCTGTCTGTGCTGACATCCCATGCTAGGCATTGCCATGTTGTTGGGTCCATTCCCGTTGGATCACAGTCGTCCCATGTCTGGCAAGTAAGTCAAGCCTCCCTTTTGATAGCGGTGGTTTATGTGAGAAAACTTTACATAAGGACATGTGAAAAATTCCTCTGTTAGGAATGTGAAGTGGTATTTACAACTTTGCCAGAAAGTCCAGGTGTATTTCATTGATATACAGATGGCTAATGACTGTGCTTAGAGGGGACAGCTTTTTCAAATACCAAAAGTCCTAAACTTTGAATTTCCTATGAAGTGTTATCCTGCTGTTTCACCTATCAGTGCTCAATGGTAGTTGCATCATTACACTGTCAGTAGCATGGCTACGCAGCTTTGTCACTTTAGAAGCTAAAGAAAAGCCCTATGATCCTTAATAATGGGACTTTAGCACACCAATTAACCTGACTGCTGAAAATATAGCTTAGGGATACATGGCTTAATTGTAATCCTTGAGTTAAACAACTGAGAGAACCTATTTCTGAAGATAGCAGAATTCTTTACAATGCTAGCATCATGACAGAACTAAGCTGTGGTAGAGGCTGCCATACTAGCCTTTTTACTGGAGGCTTCAGGAGGTAGTGCATTAGACCTTGAAATAGCTTGGTTGTGTTATAACAAGCCATATCATTGATTCTACTATTCTGTTTAATACCTGCTTACAGAAGTGTTCCATATGAATGTCCCTTATAACTTAACTAGAGTGAGAGGTCCTTGTGAGCTGGGGCCACATCTGATCATCCCTTAATTACCAACACCACCTAACTCATAGTGGGCCCTCAGGCAAAGCATGCTGAATGGAACGGAATTCAACATTCATTCAAGGCTGCTGCTATAATTGTTAAATATAAAATGGCTTAGCTTTTTTCTCAAATGCCATAGACACATTTTCACTATCCACTGCTAAGTTCCCTTCTCAAAGCAGCTGCCAAGACCCATACAAGGACAGCACTGGCAGCCTACCTGCCACAGGCATTTCTGGATGTGCGAACAAAGTGTCCAGGATGCTTACTGGTTTAAGTAAGGGGGATCCTCTATTTTAGGTAGGGACACACACTTTTTCCCATTAAGGAGCCTATCAGAGTATGAGGCAGACCCAGTGTTAAAGAATCTTTTGCCTCTCTTTAAAATGAGGCCAATGTCTTAGCAAGGAGTGTTGAACAAAGTAGCATGTCACCAAGGAGGTCAGACTGTTGGTCACGAAGCATAAAGACTAACATATTTTGGGGAAAGTAAGACATTCTTTGTCCTTTATCTTAGAATTTGGCCTTTGCCATGGCCAAATAGGGCCTTATGTAAACAGATGTGACTTAGAATAGATGTGGCTGTGATGTTTCAGTTGGCCTTTATGCATTCATATGCACTACTTCGCTCTTGCATTTTCTCACAAGAAAAAAAAAAAGAGGCAGCACTGCTGAGTGCCCATATGTTTTGCCTCATTTGCAACTCTCAAAATCCTACAGAGTCTGAAAAACCACTTAGCCTTTCAGACATTGGATGTCAAGAGAGATGTTCATCAGTAGGTGGTTCAACAAATGTCTGTTGGTTCAATGAGGGTGGGAATAAATGAATGAATGATTGAATGAATGAATGAAAATGATTATGGAAAATTTTCCTAATCGTTCTAGCACATCAGCATGCCAAGCTACAGCACAAACACTAGAAGTCCTTCTACCATGGACATAATCCATAACAAACAAATTTCATGCTGAACTCCCTGGTAACATTCCATGCTAAGTAAAAAGAAGTGTAGTCCCAGAACTCCATACTTTCAACAGAAGTCTGGAATCTACTGTTTGCAGAGAAAGAAAATGTTCTAAGTCTTTATCTATGACTGCCTAGTAGCATTTCTCCATTTAATGGTCTACATAAAAGTCACCTCCAGCCAGTGTGTAATTGTTTTAAATAAAGGGCCTAAGGAAGAAGATAAGATGATATGTTTGAAGATTTTATTTTCTGAGATTTTTGTATCATCTTTAGAGCATGAAGCTGGGTGTGAGCCATTATTTAACATGAACTCCATTACCCCAAATAAGAAAAACATTTAGAAGCACTCCAAAGGGTACTCACAAATAAGGAGAATGGAGGAGCAACTCGGAGATCTCCCTCAGACAAATTTGCTATTATAAAAAGGCACCAAACCATTTCTTAGAGCAAAATTTTTTATTTGGCTTCATACAAATTGCCACTTGAGCCATTCTGGGAGGAACCTGTTGTATCAACCTGTTTTACCCCTGTTCAACTGAGAGTAGGGTATAATTAGGTAATTAAATGCTACTTTTTTTTCCATCCTAAAACTAAATACCAGACTAGAGGGAATTAGTTAGAGGTCTATTGGAAGGACTAAAGAGTAGCCTAAGGCAGTCATAGAGAGACTAAGGTTATTGTGTCTAGTTCCAGTCCAAAAGGCATGCAGAAGTAGGGAGTTCAGGGCAATTCTGACCACCTAACTACACAATGAGCAGCCTCATATAACTACGAATCAGCGTAGGTTATGTCACTGACAGTTTTGTTGCTTTTGAATGGGGCTGGCACTGACTTGTAACATGAAGCTCCTGTTTTATATTACTAATCACTGAAGATTTTCCTACTGTAATCATTTCAGATCCCCATGTCTGTATATTATCAACCACTGGATTCTATCAACTCAAGAGGCAAAAAAGATAATGATATGCCAGTTAAACTGGTTGGCAAATTTGATCAAATTGGTCAGGTATTCGTAGCTTATACTATTTCCTGAAAATATTGCCTTGGAGGAGCTACAAAATCTAGTTGGTGTCAATATGACAGAAACAGGGTTTTGTTTAGCAAAATCAGCCAAGGTTGGCAGAAATATGACATACTTAATTAACCTGTTGATCAAATAGTTTTATTTTCCATGCTTATCTCCCCCTTTCACTTTAAAGGATTTTTAAAAAAATGTTCAAAAGATATGACAAGGTGACTAAGGAAAATATATTTTCATTCCCATAGTAAATTTACAACTTAATAGGCAAATATAAAAACACACTCATAAAACAATCTTGAATTTTTAGAAGTGTGTTCAAGAGGGTAAGGATGTAGAAACCACATCTGGCGGATTCTCTTTGGATCAAATATACTGCTGGACAGATAGGGCTAGAAGCAACACAGAGATTAAGCAGCACTATAATTAAAGGAAGGGGAAAGGTTTGAAAGAGGCAAATCGGGATTATCAACTGAAAAAAAAAAATCTGCAAACAGCCTACAGGGAAATTTCCAAGGTTAAAGCTGAAATGTTGGTGTGGAAATTCCTGGTGTAAAAATTCTAGGCTCAATACAAAATAAAATCATTTTTTCCTTTTAAAATTCCATATGGAGCATATGAGATACTCCATATGGATTGCTAAAGGTCACATAGAACACTATTAAGGAATCTACTTACCACCTGCATTGGATAACGAAGTTTTTACTACATTTTTTATGCAGAAGAGGAAATTAAGTGATGAACCTGTAAGGAGGGGTTTAACACGCTGTAACTAATGTAATTCTCTAAATAAGGTTTTTAGTTCATGGCAGATATTGAAGCCCCTTCCAAAAGTCAGGTTATAATATAAACTTAGTTCTTACCCTGGCACTTCTTTTTACATTCTTTAATACTATCAGGAGAATCTCAGGGAAAAGGCTGATAAATATTAGAAGAATTATGGCCAACCACGTGGATACAGAAGATAGCATTTGAGCAAATACGAAATACATTCTCTGTTGCTTGAGAAAAGGCCTGCAGTGGAAAGAAAATATATAATGGAAAAACAAAATCAGTTCCTGTCCATATGAAACAGAAGTTTAATTGAAACTGTCTTTTGTATTTAAAAGGAATCTTCCTTACACACATTAATAAAAATAATTTTCTCTAGAATGTCCCAGAAGTAGTAAACAAATTTCATTTACCAAATGTTTGGAAAGAAAAGGAATGGTAATCAAAGGGGAAAAAGATAATAAAATGCATTTGACTTGAAAACAATCAGGCGATCAACTCTAAAGCTGCCAATTGGTGAACATTTATATGCATTAGAAATTGCTGGAGCTTTCAAAGATATTCAAGAGAAATGATGGTTCATTTTTATCGTAACAAGCATTTTATTTCCTCAGCTATTTTACTGAGATGAGAATGGATTTGTGCTCTACACTCACAAATTTAAAAAACATTTTTATAACTCTCCCCCTCTCTCTGCAAAAACCTTATGTAAATATAAAAGGGACTGTAGAGCTTATCATCTCTCTCAAATGGGAAGAATCTACTATTTTCATCCACAAATATATATTGAGTAACAGTGTGTGCCAAACAGGCTGATATAGAGAAGAATATTGCTAATAGGACATTAAGACTTGGAATCCAGAAATCCAGGAATACCTCTCATTGTGAAGTTAGATTTTATTCCAAATCATCTCAATGGCCACTGAGAAGCACAGCCAGTATCCCCTTTCCCTATCTGAGTTGAGCCACAGAGGGCCTCACTAGGCTAAGTTACTGTGTTCTAAGCTGAGGGGGAGGAAGTGGCTGCTGAAGGTCAGGATGCACATCAGCCTATCCTGGGATTAAGAGCTCTAGGTAGATAACTAGTTGGTTCCCATTTATTAGATGACACATCATGCTCGGTGAGATGACCTGGTTTCTCATTTAAAAATTAATGTTCAAGCACCCTTATGTAACATGATATAACCAAGCTTGTGGCTCTACATATACGAGGACTAGATCTAGACTGTGGAATAAAAGTGAGCAGAACAGTGAGGTCAAGAAACTCTTGAGTCCTGGGCCACATAGGCTGTCTAGGAAAGGTCTACCACATAGAAAAGACGTTTGCAAACCTCTACCCCACTCTAATTCTGAAGAGGACCTTAAATAATTTTCTAGGTACTGAGCCATAACAAGGGTCCAGCAGATAACTGACAGCTAGTCACAGAGTGTTCCTTTGCACCATACCCCCTGATTAATTTCTCTAGATTTTTTTTTTAACCACCATGGCATCTATGGAGCTTTGCAGGAAAGCGGCAAAAAACAAAAGCTATTATTTCTAGATTGGGTTTAGATATTAGAAATCATCATTCTCACTGCCCAACCTGAAAGAAGGGTATGTCTCAATGCCTCAGGCTAGAACATTTCCAGAGACAACAGGTATGACCAGCCTTCAGCTGAAGTTTCACATAGTTTCTAGTCTCATTTTAATGGTTGCTTTATAATATAAGTTTATATTCATGTAGTAGCTCAACTCACACAACTCTACTTAAAGACAGCACTTCAGGCAATAAAATTAAAAAAAATAGATTACAATAACATTTCATTTTTAGTAAGTATGCTAATGAATAGAAACAGATGTGACAATGTCCTAATCATTTAAAGGATTTATTTAAATCAATAAGAATAGTCTGTGAAAAGAGTTAGAAACTAGTTTGCTAAAAACATTTTATTCTTGTAGAAATTTTGCATAATTAGTTCAAATGCTGATTACACAGATTCATAGACAGAATTATAGTACTCTGGGTAGACATACAATTGTATGCTGCATTTGGTTAATCGACTTTAATTCATTTGTATATTATTAAATAATATAGAGCTGACCTTCCTTCAGCTTCATTGTTCTCAATCATTACCTATAGACGTGCCAAATACATGCTGTAATGACACATTTTAGAGCTGGTGCTTCCTTAAATGATTAGATTTTTCAAATTTTTATTTCTTAATGCTCTTATTTAAAAAAGAGCCTTTCAAAATAGTAGGAATTTCTTCTAATCAAATCTCAAGGGACATAAACCTGGGCGTCACATCTCTGTGATAAAATGTTTTGTTGGTAAGATTTTGCTCTAAGCAGTGAAAACATGTACTCCTGAAATCTCACCCTATGGCTTACTCTAGCCATGCTCTCTGCTGCTGACATCCTTGGGGGGGGGGGGGAGCCATTGACTAACGAGAACAACTTTTGATATTTAAAAATAAAATATAGGTCTCTGGGAGTAAGGAAAAGAGATGCAAATCTAACTTATTTACATTTCTTACACCTGCCCCCATCACAGCCTGTGTCCCTCACTGGACTCTAATCTTGAGTCAGGGTACAGTCTATTGATCTCTCTATCCCATAGAGTCCCAAACACAAAATGGATTCTAAGTAAACATTGATTGAACCCAGATGAACTGAATGAGCTTTAAGGTCAAGCTGTAGAGTCTGCCTTTCTCCCTTCCCACCTTCACCTCCACCAAAACAGTGAGATGGTCATTTCAAGGTATGACCCTCTGAGTATTAAGTGGTATATATACTATACTCTGAGCACACCTGTAGTGATACAAACGACAGTTATATACTATAAAGAGAGAATAGGTTCCAAATGGACAATAATGTATCTATTGGCCAATACATCAGGTGGAAACTTAACAGGATGATTATTTCCCCTGGAAATCACATGGGAAGTCTTGCTAAAAATTACAGTTTCACTTCAGAGAGATGTTTACACACCTTCAAATTGAAAGAGTTGGACAGGGGCTACCAAAGAGAGGTCTTTGAGTAACTCCTGTAGTCTATATACTTGTATTTAAAATCTTACCTGAAATTAGTAGCATTACTGGCTACAAATGACCTGTAATCCATTAATATTAAAGACGTGCCATCTTATATAATCAAAACTTTAAAAGTATAACAAATGCTTACATATACAACGTACATATACATATATCTACTTTGTTATTTACATATTACTCACACATACACAGTTGCTTACCAAATAATTCCTCCCCAGAAGAATGAGAAAAATACATAAAAGGCTAAAGAACCCCAAATCACAAAGTGATTTATCCACGTCCAGAAACGAGTATCCAAGGCGAGCTGAAAAGACAACACAAGAGATTTCATGATGGATACAAATTGCACCAGGCAATACACTATGGTGCCTGATCACTTGTATACAATATGATACCTATGGGAGGATCTAGCTTGGGCCAGGGATCCAGAGGAGAGAGGAATTAAAAGAACAGAATCTAGGCTTTTCAAAGAACTAGGGTGAGAAAGCTGAGCTCTGATCTAAGGCCTCTAAACTCTAGAGTACAAGGCATGGGGGTGTGGTAAAGCTAAGTAGCTAGTAGGTGTGAGGCTGCAAATGTCTCAGTACTGGGAGATGGGCCAGAAATGAGATAACGGTAATATCCAGGAGGCTGGAGGCCCAAGTCCTCAGGCAGGAAGATGATGGCAAAAGAAGGCCTAGCTGGTAGAGGCAGGTATGCTGGAACGCAGTAAGAGAGGGAAGGGGTAAGGTAGGAAGGGTAGACAAACTACAAAGGAGTCATTAAAGCTCAAACACAACCAAGTCACTAAATGTTAAGGCGATTAGCACTACACATCTAACATCATGTAGAAATGGATCATGGGTCTGACCATGTAATGTGCCTTTCAAGTTGCAAAACCTTTATCTATTTCATTAAATTAATAAAATGTTCAGTTGCCTTAGATTTAATCTCTTCATGTTTCTGCCAGGACTGATCACGTTTTCTGATTGTGGTACCCAGGGATTTCAAATGTGATCTAAAAACAAAAGTAGGAGGCCGAGTGCAGTGGCTCATGCCTATAATCCTAGCACTCTGGGAGGTCAAGGTGTCAGGATTGCTTGAACTTAGGAGTTCGAGACCAGCCTGAGCAAGAGCCTGACCCAGTCTCTACTCGAAATAGAAAAATTAGCCAGGCATTGTGGTACATGCCTGTAGTCCCAGCTACTCAGGAAACTGAGGCAAGAGATTCACTTGAGCCCAGGAGTTTGAGGTTGCTGTGAGCTACGATGAGGCCACTGCACACTACCCAGGGTGCTAGGGCGAGACTGTCTCACAAAAAACAAAAACAAAAACTAACCAAAAGCAAAACAACCACAAAAGTATGGTCTGCTTTGCTTGCTTAAAAACTTCTGGGTCACATGGGCTAATATCCAGAACATTTAATTCTTATAGAGGAGGTAGTGTCTCAGTTTTGTTACTTGCTGTGACACCATGGTTTTCAGCTCTCTCTTAGTTTTTCATTCATAAACAGGATGTTGATAACATTGTTATTGTAGCCCAGACTTGAATTCCTACCCTCTGGGTTGCTAGAGAAAACATCACACTAATACTAGTCCGAAGAGGAGGAAGTGGATGTCTTCTCAGGTGCACTTTAAAGATGTAGCAATAAGGCTGACTCTGTGAAGGGCATTTGGAAGGCCTAGGGCTATATGCAAGGCCAGGTGTGAAAAAGGAGGGGGAAGCTTCTATTTCAGATCATGATCCTGTGAAACATGGTAATAGATAATAACAAATAGCATTTATTGTAATGAGCACATTCTATGTGCCAGACACCATTCTAAGTGCTTTATATGTATTCACTAATTTACTACTCACAAAAAACCCTAAGAGGGGTAGGTACTACTTTTATCTTGATTTTATAGAAGAAGAAACAGGCACAGAGAAGTGAAGTCACTTACCCAAAGACATATAGCTAGTAAGTGGCTAAACTGAGATGAACTGTAACATGCCTTTTTAAAGTCCTAAAATATTACTGAAATAGTAGATGAATAAAGCAAACATGTATTTGCCCTATTTGGTACAAGAGATGAACCACAAACAAAAATTTAAAGGGAAAATGATTAGAGAGGTCCTTTGACAATTGTATTTCTGAATTTTGGTTCTGAACACTAAGAGTGTTGGAATTTATTTAAAGGTACTCATTCTCGGACCCCATGTGAGGTGCTTATTACTGGAATTATCAATAGAATTTGGTTATACTTTCAACTACAAGGCATCTCTTGAGCAGCCTCAAGGGTAGCATTCAGTGAGGCTTCACAGCATTGTTACATGGCTGCAAGTCAATGTCAATGATTTTGCCAAAATACCCTTCTTTTTTCTTACCTGCAGTGTCTCTTTATGCACTTCATCACTAACATGGGTAAATTTCAGTGACAAATACATTTTATTAAATTTCATTACCACCAAGCTCCTTTGCACACATGTCTCACTCATGTACATTCAATTAATGTCTTAGGTACCCAAATTCGTTGTAGGCCTGGAGTTCTTAAGCAGATGTATAATTTTTAAAAACATTCAAGTGATTAACATGAAAACACAGACACACACATTCACAGTGTGTTTATATGCCACTTATCATGATGCCTTAAAATTAGCAGTAAAGAAAAAAAAGATTTCCAACACAAGCATTGTGTTTCAATTTTTTTTTAAAACCGAAACAAAATAGAGAGGATAGACAGTATACAAAAAAATGGATCACAAATAGTATACAAATGCCCAAATCCGTAGCACCGTATACATTTTAGTAAATATTCAGACAAAGGCTTGAATAACAACTCCCAACAAAATATAAGAGATAAAAATGATATATTAGGATAAGTATTACAAAATGTTATAAAACATATTTGAATAAATAAAAATCTAACCTTTAGAGTTACAGTGAATACTAAGACTGTAAAAACAATGGTTCCAAACGTCCAGTTTCCATATACCTGAAAAACATTTAACAATTACATGTACCATGAATACACAAGCCTGTTTAAAAAAAGAAAAAGCCCAAGTTTAATCCTGCATGTAACTGCCAAAGGTTTTTGTATGAATTTCTTAGGGAAACACAGCTAGTCAATAAGATCAGGCCACAATGCTGGATGTTCCTGTGATCCTAAATTTCATGGACAGGTACACCACACCTGTGGTTGGTAGCATTTATTTCCATTATTCCACGCAGCATTGAACAGGGAACACACTGCTGTGATAAATGCAGGAAAAGAACCCATATCTATTCTGCTAACAGCAATGTTCATGAAAACAAGTCATCTGGATGACTCACATCTCTAAAGAGTTTGGTATGGGCTTTTCTTAGAATACAGAATGAAAGCTCTCAAATCAGCAATAATTTGTAGACAAATGGACTCACATTTTTTAAATGAGTCTAATTTTTTGGCTGTAAATAGAGCTGTCAGCATGTGCACATCAAAGAAAAGCAGATACCACGTATAAATCCAAACGATGGCAATGAATGGCACATATGCTTACCAAATGCTGTCAAGATCTGAATGCGTAACATTAAAACAGAAAATGAGATGTAAAAGGACTTTAAAAAATAAAAACGAAAAATTAAGGTTAACAGAAGCAAAAAAAGGATTCAATCAAATCATACATGGGTGTTGTTTAGTTGCTAATAGCAGTTCTTGCACTTACTATACTTTTAGCAAACATTTAGAAGGATGGTGACATATACAGTAAAACCTTATTAATTTGGACTTCATGAGCCCAAAATGGGTAATAAATTGAACAGAGGTTGGGTTGACACTCCTCATCTATCACCTGTAAAGTCTGCTGAGTAAATAAATCATGTCAATGGGACTGTAGGATTATGCTCCTTCTTTGGAGAAAACTCTTTTTAAGGGTAGCCAGCTATATACAATTTTGTGTCAAATAAAAATAAAACAAAAAGTTGAAGTCGCAGAATCGGTCATAAAACTGAAGGGAACAGCGAAATCATAAAACCAAATCCATTCTTACTGATGGGCAAAGCTGATTGGAAAGCTAATGTGACTTTCTCAAGAACATGCAAGGAAAGGATTTAGCAGGATACTCTCCCTGACAAGTGCTACATGGGACCACCCTAAAGTAGATTTTTATTTCTCCAGCAATTACTTTGTGATTAATAATTTTCATGAATTCATACTACCCTGATTTCTATTAGTCCAAATTAGAGAGGTTTTGACTGCAGTACCTAATTTCAAAGTACCATTCAAATTCACTGAGCCTATCTCTTATTTAACAGGTTTTACTAGGTTCCAGACATAGTCACTGTACTCAGTAAACTCTTTTTGAACCTTAGCTTTGCTTCACGTTATGATTATAAAGAAGGAATGACCATAAAAGAGAAATCCTAGAAATGGCAAAAAAAGAACATGGTCAAAGCAGCATGCAAGGCAGTGTGTTTGGTTTCCTATTGTGTGGCTACAAGAAGAAGGCCTCAACTGCCCCCCATCAGTAATTCTCTCCTAGAGTACAGCCAAGGCAAAAACATCCCAGTGCAGCTGCTGCCTGAGATAGTCACTTGCTGGGAAGGCACCGACAAGACCAGTGTAGCCTTTCTGGAGAACACTATGCTCCCAATTTGGAAGGGAAGGAGGGAGAAAAGAGAATTCCCTCTCTTCACCTATCGGGCAAACACTACGAAGATATGGCAGCCATCTCCTTCAACTCCAAGCGTGGAAGGCCACTATGAATAAGAAATGAGTGGGGCCAGACTGTGCTTTAAAATGAGCAAACCCTTTCTCATATCAAAGAGCAGTAGTCTAAAATCTGAAGTCCCAAGACCTCTGTTCATCTAGTAAAAATTACGTCCAAATTAAGCTTCCTGAAAGTTTGCACATAAGCTATTTAACCATGCACACAGAAAGTGATTTCTTACTTCAACACTTTCATTGTTCTAAAGAAGTTGTAAGAACTAAATATTGTATCTTAAGAAAAATAGTTTGCAAGATGATTACAGCTACAGTATGTGTATCACAGATCCAGTGCCTATGGAAAAAAAGCTAAGCTATGCCTATAATATACCAAAAGATGTAATGATGTGTTTTTTTTTTTTACCTTTCCATTTTCTTCTAGGGATGCAGTCTGAAAAAGAAAGTAAGTCCCAAAGAAGAACACTGTCCCTTGAAAGGCAGCCAGAAATGTCCAATATAAGAAGGGTCCCAACTGCAGCATGGCATTGCCAGAAATTTTCCTATTGAGAAATGGGGGGAAAAATAGGTTAATGAATCTTTTCATTTAAAGATACAGTGAGGTTAACTGTGTCACAGAAATTTCGAAGGGTACATCTGTGTGCTAGCTCTTTCCTTTTGCCTTGTTGCACTGCAGAAAGTAAGATGGGTCACTAGCAGCTCTACTGAAGCCACCCATGAAAATTCGGCCAGAGTTCTCACTCTTTTTGCAGCTGCTCAAATCAGCATGGGCTAATCCAGAAATATGGTCTCAATATGCATTGCCAGTGTTCCCGTCAGTACACGAAGGAGTTCATTAAGTTGGCCTAAGTGATCTTCCTTGAATAGATGATCCAAGGCATCCAACCAAAGAAAGAAACTATGCTAGCTCTTTGTACATAAATTTTTTAAAAAACCTCAAAAAAAGAAGATACAGTGAAATGCCAAAAGTGGGCATGGGAATTGACCCCATTATAATGAAGAGGGCTACCCCAATGGCCTGAAAGGTTTTTGGTAAAGGGCCAGACTGAGCCAAAGGTCGATTTTCATGTAATCACCTCCTGACTGAGGAACTGGAGTAAACTGTCAAAACATTTAATTCTGGCCACTAACAATAATAACAACATCAATAATAATTAGCTCCCATTCAATGGGTACTTATTATATACCAAGAACTGGGTTAAAAGTTCATTAACTATTTCCACCCACATAAAATCTACATGAAATAGGTATTATTATCACTCCCATTTACAAATAATAAGGAGCCTCAGGAGGTGTAACATATTGATTCCCAACCTTTGATGCACATTGTAATCATCAGGATCAGTTGCATTTACATTACAAACTGAGCATCAGGATAGTTTTTAGAGCTCCCCAGGTGATTCCAGTGTGCAGTAGTTTGGGATCCACTAGTGTAGCAGCCTGCCAAAGTTCACACAGTTAGTAACAGACAGAGCTAATACATAATCCTGGATTGACTTGACTTCAGAGCACATGCTCTCAACCAAGCTACCAAGCTTTTCAACTACAATTGTTAAAATATTTCTTTAAATCAAGATTTCTTCCCGGAAATTTAACCTTTTTTTAGGTCTTAGGGTGTCCTTTATATTTTTTTCCATTGAGTCAAATAGCATGTTTGAAGTTGTATAATGATGCTTTGATAAATGGCATAAATGGCAGATGGAAAGACTAAAAGTTTAAATCTGTCAAAAATAGCATAACCTCAGCACAAGTCAGAATGTTAAATAAGGCTACCAATACTAATGAAGCAGAGCTGCAGAAAAAAGATGGGTTTGTGTATGTATTTCTTTTGAATTCTATTTCAAATTGCTCTTAACATTTATCAAAGGGTATCTAATCACTCAAATAGCATACTTGTTGCCAATACTATGGAGAATGTCACAGGGCTGCATCGAATAAGAAACACCTTTGTAACGTAAATGCAACTGATCCTTGTTCATTCGGTATTAAGTACTATGAGGTTTCCTGATAACATGGCAATTATGCAACTTTTACCTACTAGGATTTCCAGGTGCATACAGGACTCTGAAATTCAGGGAATGCTGTTTGTCCTAGAAAAATGGCAGGAGGTGGCTGCTTCCCAGAAACAAGCTCTCCCCACAGCCAGTAAGTCATGTTTCCAAGGCAACTGGGAGTCACAGGGAAGGCACCTCCCTGTAAGGAGTACACAACTGCCAGCCAGTGTGGCTTTTGACAGTCACTGACTTGGGCTGAGGCAGAGAGGGCAAGAGCAGGACATGGTTCTGTCTTTACAGACCATCTACGTAAGTTACATTACATTCAGTGGGAAAAATGGCAGGGGAGTCATGATATGTTGAATTATAGGCCAGGCTTTCTAACAGCACTCAGATGAATGAAGATGCTGTTGGAAATCCAGAATGGGGCAATCGACATGAATGGAGAGCATGAGAAAGAATAAAAATCTGTGAGAGAGGCTGAGCAGCAGCAGAGGCCTAAGCCTAAGCACCTCCATTTGATGGCAGGTAGCAGGTGTACCAGAGCCCTATCTTTTGCCTTTTAAAGCTGTAGAAGGAACAAACTACATTTGTTCCCTCTATAGAAAAACTACAGTTTACTTTTTAAATTTCTCTTAAAAATTATGAAAATAACCAATTATGTCTTGTTTCAGTGTTTGGAAATGCCTGAGTTACTAAATTCCAGAAGGTGACACCTATAATATGCTGCACAATGCCACTGCTAATATTAAGTGGTACACTGCAGAGAGAGCCATACATGAAGACCAGGGCTTCATGTTTACAAAGTAATTGAGTAATGGAACAATCTACAGACAGACCAAGAGCAGGGTCTGATCAGAGCAGGCACTCACTACTTACAAGTACGAGGTTAAGAAGGAAAGTCCAACTTTGAGCTTGGCAATAGGCATGCCATGGTTTTAATTTTTGCATCAGATATGGTAAGTATGCAAAATTGTCCAATAGTTCATGACCTACACCTGCAATGCAGTAACTCAAACCTCATGGAAACCCTTACAATATTTTGTACTCAACAGCTTTGTAGATTTTCAACATTCTTAATTTATAAAAGTGCTCAGCGTAATCCTAAAGGCACGTGGAGGAGGGCGTTAAATAATAAGATTAATAGCTACTGTCAATTGAAAACTTGTTAGGCACTGTTTTTTAAGTTCTTTTACATGTAGTGACTCATTTAATCTTGACAAAACCATTGTGATTGGATGCTTTTGTTGTCCATACTTTACAGAAGATGAAACTGAGGCACATATCAGTCAAGTAACCTGCACGAGGTCACACAGTAAGTGGCAGAAGTGAGATTTAAGCCCAGGCAGTTAGCCAACACTCTTAGTGGGACTGAATGGGAGGAATTTTGCTTACAACCCCTCAAACCCCATTTTAACCAGAGCAGCTACCTTACTGGGCTTCATTTTAGTGGTTGTCTTAAGACAACTGCTGTTCAATGTTTGAAAAATGACTGGCCTGCTGGAGAAAGCACTGGAAAGAAGGCTGAATTCTGATCTTTGTTTTGCCTCTGGTTATACCCTGTGTCCTTAGGTAAGTCATTTCTAGGCCTTGGTTCCTCATTTTCAAAAAGAGGGTATAGGGTGTGTGGGAGATGATACTCTATATGATTTCTACCAGAGTTTTTTTTTTTTTTTTTTTTTAAGAGACAGGATCTTGCTCTGTTACCCAGGTTAGAGTGCAGTGACTCAATCATAGCCCACTGCAGCCTCAAATTCCTGAGCTCCAATCTACCTCCTGCCTCAGCCTCCTGAGTAGCTAAGAATATAGGCCCATGCCACCACACCCAGCTATTTTATTTTATTTTATTTTTGTAGCTATAAGGTCTTGCTATGTTGCCCAGGTTGGTCTTGAACTCCTGGCCTCGAACTCCTGGCCTCAAGTGATCCTCCCACCTCAGCCTCCCAGAATGCTAGGATTATAGGTGTGGGCCACTGCGCCCAACCCCTACCAAGACGTCTAATGATTTTCCTCTAGATCTAATTATCCATTTACAACAAATACCGGAAAATCAGTGGAACATGTTAAATAATGTCATGAGGATGCTGTCGGCAAACTCTAGACTGGGGAAAACTTTACAACATAAATGATCCAGTTTCATCAGCAAATAAATTACAAGGTTAACCTACAGATTAAAAGAGACTCAAGAAGCATATCAACATAGGAAGAGTCAACTGGAAAAATCTGAACATTGGATATTTGATGATATTAAGGATTTGTTAAGTAATAGGGTACTGTTATTTTTAAAAATCTTTAGAGATACATACTGAAATAACTGTTTTATATAATGTTTGAGATTTTCTTCAAAATAAGCCTAGATAGAGCACATAGGGTTATTAACGGAATTAATGGAACAGGTTTGTCAATGAATTGATAGTTGCTGAAGCTGAGTGCTGAGGACAGGGAAGTTCATTCATTATAAATAGTATTTGTTGCTAAATGTCAATTTTATGAGTCATACTGGCTAAAGAAATCCCTTATATTTATGAATCTTCATTTCATACAAATAAACCACCTGAGCCTCTTTATTGCACTATTCTATCCACTATGTAGCAATGCTTATAATCTGCTATAAATTAACATCTTTATCCTTAGCTGTAGGTTTAACTTCTAAAAATCCAATTAAATAACAAAGTAAACAACTGGGGCTAATGCCAAGTTCCCCATCCATAGAGAAAAGCATCCATTTCTTTCTTTTTTTTTTTTTTTTTTGAGACAGAGTCTCACTGTGTTGCCTGGGCTAGAGTGCTGTGGCGTCAGCCTAGCTCACAGCAACCTCAAACTCCTGGGCTCAAGCGATCCTTCTGCCTCAGCCTCCCGAGTAGCTGGGACTACAGGCACACGCCACCATGCCTGGCTAATTTTTTCTATATATTTTTAGTTGTCCAATTAATTTCTTTCTAATTTTAGTAGAGACGGGGTCTCGCTCTTACTCAGGCTGGTTTCGAACTCCTGAGCTCAAACAATCCGCCCGCCTGGGCCTCCCAGAGAGCTAGGATTACAGGCGTGAGCCACCGCACCCGGCCAGCATCCATTTCTAACTGACACAAAAGGAATATCATAGCTTGAGTTGATTGTTTTGTTTAACAAAACAGTTTTAGAATGGGGCTAACAAAAGAGGGCAGCTAATGCTTCGGGTGCAAACATGTTTACAAGAGAAAGACTAACAACCTCCTCAGCTTAATCCACTAGAGGTAGAAATCACTATTCTACAATACCAAAGATTTTTTGTGTGCTTTTTGTTTTTGCAGTTAAAAATATCATGTCTTCTTATAAGATACCAGAACATTACGACAATATAGGTTTAAGTTTTAGGAATTAGTGATTTATACACATTCAAGTATATGACCTACACCTGGAAAATACATCATTGTACTGTTGAGTGGTCTGGTTTTAGTAGCTAAAAATTCCAAAGAGAACCATATAATCAAACCAAGTGGGCAGTTCTGTGTCCTTCCCATCTGCAGATGAAATGAAACTCACAACTCTGAAACTCTGAAAGTTATTATGTTCATCTTACATATATAATTGGGGGTCTGAGGTCAGAGTGTCAATGTTGATGTGCTGTTCCAGTAGACTGTAGGCCAGGATGGGCAGGGATGTGAAGCAGATATTGTACATTGTAAGGTAAGCAGCATCATACAGTGGCTGAAATGACAAACGACAGAGGAAAGAAAAAAATTTACTGTAACGATTATCTATAAGAGGATATTTATGTATTTGGAAAAATCCCTAACTAAAACAAGATTTTCTTTCATGCTTTTTGTGACAGTATGAGGTCACTCCATGGTAACTATAAAAACAAAACTAACATGTTGTGGTGTGTCATATTAATATACCCATCCCTTTAATAGAATCTTATTCAGAATGTTTACGTGCTATAAGCTGTATTTCTAATAGACATTAATAACTTTTCAAAAAAATTTAATAGCTAAAACTTCAACTATTCAGGAGCTATACCAGCAAAGACCAAATAAATATAAGCAAAAAAAAACCAACAATAAAAGCAAAAAAACAAACCGTTAAAAAACTAAATATAGGCAGTGGCCAGCCTGTGTCACAGTTGTTTTGGTTAATACTTTACATATTTTTTGGTTAGTATTTTCAAGTCCAAATCCTATAATGTATTTTTTAACATCTTCTTCCTGAGAGGCCCCACGGTTCCTCATGGTTCCTCTTTCTCCCTGCACTGAGTAATAAACCTGATCTTATCAACTACAAGTGTGTTCCTGGTAATTTTTGGCTGGAGAACTTTGACAATCTTCAGCTCCTACAACAGAACTTGATATACAGAAAGCATCCAATAAATACTGGATGAATGAATGAGTACAGACTGGAAGCTATAACACATTTGTAAAGGACTGAACTGATATTATACATCTTGCTTTACGGAAAAATATTTAAGGTACTCTATGAGCTTCTGATGGAAGTACTTAGTGAGTTCAGTATTTATCTACACAGTGCTAGATATCATACAACCATTTTCTGTGGCCTGAATAAATAATGCCCCATACTCACATGTATTTTTCACACATAAAATTGCCTTTGATTAATACATTTAAATGTGACACAAATTAACACAAAAATGTATTTTGAATCAATGGCTACTAAAGATAATTACTATCATAAAAATGTGATAAAATTAACACAATTACATATTTTTAATCAATGACTACTAAAGATAATTGCTATCATAATGGAGACTGACTCAAAAAGGTTGGGAATGACTTGAATGGAGCATTAGTTAATTCATTAGTTGACTTGAGAATGTTTACTGAGTGCCTACTAAGCGCCAAGTACTGGGGACAGAGATGATTCATCCCTGTCTACCAGGGAGTTCAAACTCTAGATAGGGAGATAGAATGGGAGGTGCACAGGGAGCTAGGGAAGCCCAGGGGAGGGGACCACAAATCTGGCCTGCAGTAAAGACAAAGCAAGAGATAACGCACACAACATTCTCAATGAAGTTAAAAGAATGGCTGTACATAAGAACATGGAGGTACTTCCAATATATTTTCTATATACAAAGATTTAAGCTCAGTAAAAATATTCTACTGAATTAAAAAGGACCAAAAAAGGTGTTACATTCCTTTTAATTCTCAAGGGAGAGGACTAGTCTGTGGCACGCAATAATACATTTTCTTTGGAAACTACCCATTTTCACTAATGAGTAAAATTTTAAAAACTACAACTCAGATTGACTGGTGTATAATTTAGTCTTGAATTTCATTTAAACAAAAGAAGCATCAATCTACTTTTGTTTCACTATGTTACTCTAAGGTTATGTGAAAGATAACTGTAATTCTTAGGTGCATAATTAAAGGAGACAGACTGTCCCCAAAACAAACAACAGGTTTATTTGATAATATTGTTTCTTGTTAAACATGTTACAACGTTTTCATTATATATATATAAAAAGACAAGTACTATCCTAGCTTCTGGCTAAAGAAAGAGTTGCTTTTTGCATAAAGAGTCCGAGTCTTAGTCTCATCTCTACATTCCCCATAGCCCACTTTCCAAGTTCCAGAAAACACCTAAACTGGTTCCAGAATGAAAAAGGCTGACTACTCATATGAACTCTAAAGATATTTGCAGTAAAAGTTGCGACATTCAGCACTAGCACAAAGTCAAAAATAAAGATTTTACACATCATGTCACCTTCTCAGAGACCTTCCTTTCACCTGGTATACTTTTCCTCTAAGTTGTCTGCATACTTCCTTCCCTCAGCTCCTTAAGGTCTCTGTCCACTTATCACCTTAAGAGACAGACCTTTCCAGATCAAAGTCTCTAAAACAGCAGCCCTCTCCCTCAGTCACATTCTATCCTTGTATTATGCTTTATTTTTTTTTCCCATCAGAGCACACATTAGTACCTGACATAATATATTTTATTGTTGTCTGTCTCTCCCCCTATTACCATACTGCAGGTTCCATGAGGGTTAGGGAGTTTGTTTTGATCACTGCTATAACCTCAGCACTTAGCCTGGCACGAAGTAGGCTCTCAAGAAATATTTGTCAAAGGAATGAATTTATGAGTCAAGCAACTGAAGAAGCCAAACGCCAACTCCTATGGAAACCTAAGTAGTTAAGGTAACCTAAGGCCAAAGGCAGGGTTTGAATCTCACTCAGCTAGCTTTATAAGGAGTTAAGTCCTTTCTTTCTTCATACAGCTTATGCTCGGTAAACGTGTTTTAAAAGAACATAGCAACACACTCCTTTCAAAATAAAAATGATGTTTCAACCAGATCAAGCCATCTTCCCTTTAGCACTTTGCTACAAGTTAGTTAAGAAAATTTGAAACATCTTTTTGATACTTGCATTCATCCAAAAAAGTAAGAAATTAGCAACATTTTGATCAATAGCAATTTGAATGTTGAAGAAAAGCAGATTGATCAGAATTTACAAAACTCTCTGTAACTAATACTATCACTTTTGAATGCAAGAAGGCTAATGGCACTTCCTACAACTGGCAGATGCTTAATTCATAACATGATCTGCTTCATTGGCACCATGGGGCTAATGACATAGCATTGATGTAAGAGAGCATACCAAATGGCAAAGAGGTAAATTCAAGAGAAAGATAGCAATCTCATTAGTAGGATGCATTCTCTTAAAAATACTGCAAAGGAATTAGGAAAAAAAAATCACTTCCTATCACAAGGAGCCAAAAGGAATAAGGCTTGACTTTGAAATTTAGACTCTCAGTCTTTAATATCTTTGGCAATGAGGTAGCTCAGCTTGGCAAAATCACTGAACTGCTCATAGATTAACTACAAAATTTCTGAGTCACTAAGCATTATAGGTCCTGTATTTGGCTATACTTCCCACTAGAAGCAACATCAAATCTGTTTCAGTTGTTAAAACAAATGTGCCTGCCCATCCCACCACTTATGTATCAAGTTGATATATAGCCTATTCTTTATGTAGTAAATGTTCAGAAAACAATAGAGGGCAAAACATTTAGAGTTGCTTTAAGTAATCCAAGGCTTTATCTAGGAATCACAGCTTCGTGGCCAGTTTAAAGACCAATGTTTTTTTGTTTTTGTTTTTGAGACAGAGTCTCACTCTCTTGCCTCAGGTAGAGTGCCGTGGCGTCATCCTAGCTCACAGCAACCTCAAACTCCTGGGCTCAAGCGATCCTTCTGCCTCAGCCTCCCGAGTAGCTGGGACTACAGGCATGCGCCACCATGCCTGGCTAATTTTTTCTATATATTTTTAGTTGTCCGATTAATTTCTTTCTATTTTTAGTAGAGACGGGGTCTTGCTGTTGCTCACGCTGGTTTCGAACTCCTGAGCTCAAACAATCCGCCTGCCTCGGCCTCCCAGAGTGCTAGGATTACAAGCGTGAGCCACCGTGCCCGGCCTAAGACCAATGTTTTTATATAAAACCAACCTGAGGAACTGCAAAGGTGTGATATTTTACTTGATGAAATAAACTATAACATTTTAGAATTATAAAATACATTTTATACATTGATAAAAAGAACAAAATCCAAATACTCTTGTTAATGTTATCTCAACTCTAACAGGATATACCAAAAACATTTCAATAGGAAAATAACAGTAAGATAATTAAGTAAAGCAAAGACATATACATTTGCTACTATCAAAAACCAGGTCAAGAACAATCAACTGTTGAAACAAAAAAGAGATTCTTTTACTTTGGACAGACTTCCCTAATCTCTATTAATCTATTATAATATACAATGGCAATTTATTAACAGCAAACGTAAACTACATTATAACAAATAACTTGGGAAACAAACCTGTTGTGAGAATCCACAGAAGAACTGGTACAAAAACTGTGGCAAAATGAAACAAAGGTTCTAGAAAAAAATTAAGACAATGGTTAATATTTTCACTTGATGAGCATTATAAACTAAATTGGGAACTTGTACTTCAGTCTCTAGTCATTCCTAAATCCTTCTAACACCAGAATGCAATAAATCTCTATTCCAGAGACATAAGGAAATAACTCAAAAAGAAATTCATATTAAGACCAACTTTTGCCCTACCAAGGCAGAAAAGGATCTCACTTTATGAGAACCTCTTACTGCTATTCTTCTTCCAGAGGAGAAATGAGCTCATCCAATATGAATACCTAATGATACTGTACCTTAAATATCAGTTAGATTTGCAAAATCATCATAAGGCAGATCGACAATGCTGTAAGTGTATATTTAAAGTTAATTAATGCCAATAGTTAGGAAACTATTATAGATTATGTTGATAGTAACAGTATCAATAAATGCTTTATTGCCTTTATTACCATCTCATCAAACAATCAACATATCATTATGGAGCACCTACTATATAGTGCTGACTTCTTTCTCCTAAGGGACTTATTGTTTAATTAGGAAAATACTGAAAATATGCAGATTATAAAAATACAAGGTGAAAATTCATAAGGCAATAAAAGCCACTGAGTGTCACTATAAAATACTGAAATTAATGTCTTCAGGCAAAACTACCAGAACTAGAATTTTCAAATGAGTGCTATCCTTCAAAGTAGGCTATGGGCTTGAGAGCTGCTGTTACTTGTTCATGATGTCTCTGGACTTCTCCTTGGGAAGCCCCTTCAAAAGCCCACTTTTGAGTCATGTCAGAAAACCAGTTGCCTCCCTTTTGTCACACATTCTCACTTAGCTAATTCACCAGACTCAGCTCTGGGAGACTGGAAGCTGTTTTTAAAAATCAAATGCAACTTTAAAGGATGAATATCTGACATGGCTGAGGATATTTAGATGGATATACTACAGGCTCTGGAGGATGTTCCTAAAAGCAGGGGCTCTACGTGTTTTTCAATCACCCCTGCAGCATGAGAATAAATGTCAGAGCTCCCAAGGTCATCACCTGGAAGAACAAGACTCATTTGTAAGTATCAGTTCTGGCACAATGCAAAACATTGTCCACACATTTCTAGAGTCATATTTTATGAACAAATAGGTGTTCTGAGGTTGGAAAAGGCAGAGCTCAGTGGGGATCATGAAGTAACTTATGAAAAGTGGAGTGTCTGTCTCCCCCACTAGAATGTAAGTTCCATGAGAACAGGGACTTTGCCCATCTTATTCCATGGTGAAACCTCAGTGCCTAAAACAGTGCTTGGCACATGGTAACACATTCAAAACATATTTGTTGACTGAATAAAGTCAGAACTTGAACTAGGTCTTAAAGACAAACAGGATATGTTAATAGCAGGAACCAAGGCAAGGTAGTATGTATATTAAACATGTATAGTAAGGCAGGGTCAAACAGTGGGGTGCCTTAAAAGCCACACTAATCCTGAAACAATGGAGAGTAAAGTTTGTAATGGACACACTGAAAAGTGGCATTCTCTAAACATTAACCTGGTTGAATTATGCAAGGAGGATTAAATGGAGAAACAGAAGGCAAGAAGACCTGTCACTAAAGTATGCCAGGAGTGAGGCAATAATAATTTGAAGATGAAATGACAGGAAAGGAGGAAGGAAAGACTTCTTAGCTTAGCCAATGAGGGTTGAACACATTAGAAATCCTCTTGGGACAAAAGCCAGCAATAAAAAAGAAATACTGCTAAGTCAGTAACCAAGATGATAATGGGCATAGAGATACTAATGAAGATAGAGGACAACATCTACCTAAATAATCCCCTATATTGAGAACAGGCATTTGTCAGTTTTAGATCATTGATCAACATTTGCCATTTTAATGCTTGTTTTGTTCTCCTAACAGAGCATCCCTTCCATCTGGTGGCAGTTGCTTGAATTGCAGGCCAAGATCTAAAAGAGGCAAACCAAGCCTTTAGAATAGGATCAGATTACCAGGCAAATCTGTACGGCAAATCTTCATGAGATCTCCTACCAGGGGGAGGTTCAGAGAGAATAATCATTTATTCCCATGTGGGGCTGTTAGTTACTGAGTGAAAGGCCCAACAGACCCTATGATGCACAAACAGTCCTAAACTTAGAGTAAATGAGCCTATGGAAGAAATCTAGCTCTGTCACCTCATAGCTGGAGAGCCAAAGGAAGTTGTATCTGTCTGAGCCTTACTTTGCACATATTTTAAATGGAAATACTACTACTTGCCTCATAAGAAATTTGTAAAGATTAAAGAAGAAAATAAAGGGATTTTGTCAACTAGCAAAGTACCTTACACATACTGGATTTATCATCATTATAATCCTCCTCCTCCTCAGTGTTTGGCCTGGCTACCAGTTGATACTGGCTGGCAGAGTTTTAGCAAATCTGTGAACCTGAGTTCATGGTTATATTTATTTTACAAAATACAAAGTTAACAGGAAAGACATAGGGTTGATTATAGTAGACAACTGAAACAAAAAAGCAGCTGTTGAGTTTTCCCTCCTGTGAAATACAGGGAATGAAATTCAAATGCCGTAACTGCTTCAATCATTTAAAACAAGAACATACACTTGATACTATACCTACAAACTGGAATCTAATTAAGAAATTTGGTAAATTCTATCCCTTGGTAGACAATAACAGGTATGCAGACTCAGTCTAACGTGTTCTATAATGCTTGGCAGTAAAAGAAAACCAAGGTATTTGTTGCAGAAACAACCTCAATGTCCAATAATGGGAGCTTAAGATATTGCACAATTATGTTTTAGAAAAATATTAAACTGAGTGAGAAAAATGCTCACAATATATTAAGTGAAAAGGCAAAGTGTGAAACAATATGTATTGCACCAAATAGGGATAAGGTTTCTTTTGGGGGTGATAGAAAAGTTTTGGTGTTAGATAGTGGTGATGGTTGCACAGGAGAGGGAATATACTAAAAGTCATTGAATTGTACACTTTAAAATGGTAAATTTTGTTATGTGAATTATATCTCAAAAAATTAAAAATAGAAAACCTCTATGTAGTATATAAAAATATATACACAAATTTGTATAATAAAAGATCAGAAGGTCACATAACAAAATGTTGCCATTGGTTCTCTCAGTTGGTATGCTTATGAACAATTAGAGATGACTGCAAAAATTTCATTTTAGAAAAGGAATTATATATACATTTAAAAGAGAGATTTGAGAAAAGTCACTTTTGCACGATTCTTTTTGTTTAGAGCATTGAGTCACTAACATTCTCAGAAAACCTCATATTGAGTAGACCTTTTGGTGTAGCTCTTTTAGAACCATGCCAATGTTTCACATACTCAAACAATAAATAATTAAAATAAATCAGGACTAGAGGGGAAGGACCCAAATGGAATGCAAACAAAAAAATAACCTAACTGTATTTCGAACAAATAACCTAACCATACTGAAGTGGTGGAAAGGAAAAAAAAATAAGCAACCTTAGAAAACAGTACTTTCACTATATACTCTAAGGCTAAATATAAAAAGAACTGCACACATTTGCCACAATATGGATGAACTCAAGAACCCAGAGGACACTATGTTAAGTGAAATAAGCCAGGCACAGAAAGACAAATACCTCATGATCTCACCTATATGTGGAATCTAAAATAGTCAAACTCACAGAAGCAGAGCAGTAAAATGGTGGATACCTGGGGCTGGGGAGAGGAGCTGGGGAGATGTTGGTCAAAAGACACGAAATTTCAGTTAGAGATCTATTGTATCTCTGGGATATAGTAATAAAAACATACTGTAAACTTGAAAATTGCTAAGAGTAAATTTTAAATGTTCTCATCACATAAAAAGATAAGCATGCGAGGTAATGCATATGTTAATTAGCTTGATTTAGCCATTCCACAATGTATATATATTAAAATATCACATATACCATAAATATATATAATTTTTATAAATTAAAAAAAACTGCACACAAATATCATACTCGAGTTAGTTTGTTTCTCAGGAGTATGAGTTAGCAATTATGAAACTACTTTAAGTGTATTTGAGTATTGAGCAAATAAGTATACATATTATTGATAAGGAGAACGTTTCTCACCACTGGAGAAATAGTCACAAATAAAGAAGAGGGAAAAGCTAGAATGAACTCTGTGCTGTTTGGACTGGAATCAAAGATATTATTTAACTTTAGTTTGTACTGATCCTTTTGATTCCAGTCTAATGTATGTGTGTGTGCACATACATACACATACATCCTCACTTAACATCATCAATAGTTTCTTGGAAACTGTAACTTTAGGTGACATGATGTATAAGGAAATCAATTGTTTTTTCTCATCAACATTATAACAAAATGACATGACTTTGAATGAAACAATGCCATTTGAGGACCTGCTGTACATTGTTTCACTTAAAGTTACAGTTTCCAAAAACCTATCAATGTTGTTAAGTGAGGACTTAGATATATATAAAAATATAGTTTTTTTATGTATACCTTCTGTCTACTGAGAAGGCCTAGAACCAACTTCACCTAGCAGCAATGAGCACACATAGCACCCAGATTTTGATTTCTAAATACTATTTGCAAATAAAAGGAACCAGTGATCCCTGGAAAAATGTCTGAATTCAGGACCAGGGCAGGGAAAATAACATCCTCTGGTACCAGAAAATAAAGAAGTCTTCAAAAATGATGAGGGTAAGGACATAGGAGCTCCCAATGGTCAAATACAGGAAAATCTGAGTAACAAAATAAATAATGATAGCAGTGGATTTTAACTCATAAAATAAAACATGTGTTTTAGTGGCAGAATCCTCTTTTCAAATGAAATTATACAGAGCAAAGTAGAAGGGTCTTAAGATACCCAAAACAACATTTGAACCAAATTATCAAAATTAACATTATCATTAATGAGGCATATTGACAACATGTGCCTCCTGATATGATACACTAAAAAGGTTATTACAACATCACTTCTGTGGTGTTTGTGCCCAAAATGCATAACCTGAATCTAATAATAAGCAAACATTACAGAAACCAAGTGGAAGGACATTGTACAAATTAATTACCCAGTACTCTTCAAGAATGTAAAAACCATGAAGACAAAAAAAAGACAGGAACTGTCCTATATTAAAGGAGACTAAGGAGACATGACAGCTTAAATGCAAAGGTGATTTTGAAAAGAAATGGGCCACAAAAAGAACATCTGTGGGACCACTGGCAAAATTTGAATACAGTATGCAGACTAATTAATAGTCATGTGCTAATTAATACCAATTTGCTGATCCTGATAACTACGTTGTAGGTTATCTGTGGTGATAACAGTTGATGAAGCTGAGCAAAGACTATATGAGAATTATTTCACTAATTTTGTAACTTTTTTAAAGTCTGAAATTATTTCAAAATGAAAAGCCAAAAAAAAATTTTAAACTTCATTGACCAGAACACAGGACAGCAGATAAAGTTATGGCTCACATCAGCTTAAATTGATTTGTACACCTTAGACCAGTTACTTCACTTTCATGTACGCCAAGTTCATTATATATAAAATAAGTAAGTGGCTTTAACTATATTCATGGATTCCAAATTTTGCTCTGAGAAACCTCTGGGGCAGGAAAGGGAGGTTGAACAAATAAGCAGCCCTGGCATATCACACTTAAGTCAATGCAATCCTGCTTCTATCTGCTTTATCTGGGTAATTTCATTTGAACACAGGATTCTGCTACTGCGAAATGTAGCTTGAAATACCATTTAGCATAAAAAGGGAACCAGCTATTGCTACATGATACAATATGGATGAAGCTGACAACATTATGCTAAGTTAAATAGGCCAGACACAGATTCCGTTTATAAGAAGTTCTAGAACAGGAAAAACAAATGTGTATATTACATATATTATATCTTTATATTATCTGTCATACATACTACTACATATGGTACAGTAATATAAATCAGATTAGTTGTTGTTTGGGGCAAGGGCACAGGAGACTGGGAAGGAGCATAATGAGAATTTTCTGGGGTGATGGAAATATTCTATTTTTTAATTGGGGTGGTGGTTATATGGATGTATACATTTGTCAAAACTCATGAAACTGTACAATTTTAATGAATGCACTTTATTATGTTTAATTTATACTTCAATAAAACTGACTTTAAAAAATTCATCTCAAATCTCTTGCATCAAAGGTTTCTGATTTGTTAAATAGACCGCCTCTACTTTGATTACTATAAATTTCAGTATCAAGACAGCAAAAGCAGCATGAAAAAAGAAAGAATAAAATCATGACCAATCTGAGCTAATGCTGAATAGTCAGAAATTAAATTACAAATATTTTATCACATACCTTATAGAAGAAATACTGTACAAGGTGTGCTATTCTCACATAATATAGATGTCCGTGAGCCAAAAGCAGTTTCTTTAAATGTTTAAACTTTGGAACAGAATAATCACTATTCCTGGCTGCTTGGCGACCTTCCTTGCCTTTAATACCTAAAAAGAAAATATTGCCATAGGATGAGTACTTTATAGAATAAGCAACCCCCTGGTTTATTTTCATATTTTCAACTTGCTTAAATGTTATAGTTCAATTGTATAGTTTAGCTTTGCTTTTTTTTTTTTTAAACCAAAAAGGGCTTTCTTTAATAGTGACACTGAACCTTACCAAATAAAAGGAAACTAAGTTTAATTGGTAACCACTTATTCGTTACACAATATAAAAGTGTTAAATGAATCATTATTTCAATCATTAAAAGGCAAACATTATCTGGAAGCAAAAAATTCAACCTGAAAATTATTTTTAAGGTACTCATTAAGTACTTAATTGTACATGACACTAGACTAGGTGCTATATTAAGGCAATTCAGAAACTTGCTGTTTGTGGTCTAGGAGCTCAATGAGAAAATGGTGAAATCCTCACAGTGAATGAAATTCTAACTAGCAGCCCAAGGGTCCTCTGAGCTCAAACAGCTTTGGGCCATTTCCACAATGAATAACCAATGAGGGGAACTTGAGAGTTCTACACTAAACAGGACTACTTCCAAATGGAAAAAAGAACTGGGAACCTAAACTGTAGTACAATGATTCCCAAGATATTAATTCCATATCTGCCCCCAGCCCCCTGCCAAAAAAAAAGTTCCTGGGGTATTAGGTTTGTTGCCTAACAGAAACCTGACAGGGAAAAAAAAATGGTACAGGTGGTAGAAAAGCTGTTGTAGAATATCAACATATAAATTCAACACTATAGCTCAAACCACCCATAAATACTGCCGTGTTGAACACCAGCCAACCAATTATCATTTCTTAGCCCTAAACACTTCAGAATCTCAAAAGATATAGTGCAGCAACATAAGCAGGCAGTCTAGCCAAGAGCAGAAATCAATAAAATTTCACGCATACTGTCAAAGTGAGAGCTAAACAATCAATTGTGTTGCCAGTAGGTTTGGGAAATTTACTTTACTTGGCTAATCTACAAATATCCTCTAACTTTGTACTGCTACATTCCAGCCAGGGGCAGGACCTTGGGATGGACATGTTCCATTATCAGATGAGGACTTCCATTCAATTAACAATTATCATTACAAAATTCAAATTTAAGATGAGCAACCAAAACAATCTCTCTAGAATATAAGACTACTTTACCTAAAAGCAATAATACCTTACAGCTGCTATCTCATTAGAAGTTTCTTACCTATTCCCACATGGGATTCCAAGATCATACTAACATCATTGGCACCATCACCTATCGACAGAGTTATTGGGCTGCCTTTTAAATTCTTCACCATTCTGACAATCTAAATATTAAACACAAAAGAGGTATAGAAAAGGTCAAAGCAGAATGTGAGACTGGACTACTTTAGCGATTTATGCCTCATTCACACTTGTAAATGGCAGCCTTGCAAACAGAAGGGTAGCTTGTGCATATACAGTCATCCCTCGGTATCCACAAGGGATTGGTTCCAGAACCCTCCATGGATACCAAAGTACCATACTTGAAATCATCTCTAGATCACTTAAAAAATAATATCTAATACAATGTAAATGCTATGTAAATATTTGTTATACTGAATTAGTTTTTAATTATTATTTTTATTGTTGTATTATTTTTTATTGTTTCGGGTTTTTTTTTCTAATATCTTTGATCCATGGTTGTTTGAATCCACAGATGCAGGACCCATGGATACAGAGGGCCAACTGTATATACAATAGTCTTGAATTCTCAGATGCAGAAGACAGCCATTCAAAATGTAACAGTAGCACCCACTTGTTTCTGGTTCTGTGCATGTATGAACTATCAAAAATCTTGCCTCTCACACATATTGGAGATCAACGCATTTCCCTCTTTTATCATTACATAAAGTGTCCTTTCAGATCAGATGTTGAATGCGTGACAGTGGAGGCCAGAAACCTGATCTGAGGTGGCCGTACAGGGCCACCAGAAGAAAAATGGGAAGTCAGAGAATAATATTTTGGGGTACCTCTTACTCTCTCCTCCCTGCTGACACTTCCACCTTCCCTAGGAGCACCTCAACCCTTATTCCCAGGAACTTATCTAATGTTAAATTCTTACACCCATCTGGTTGCCAACTAAACTTTACTAAATCTCTTACTGCTCAATATGGTTTGACCTTTCCTATAGGTAGCTGTATTTTAAAAGGGGCATTTTAAAGGGGGTGAGATTTGCAGAAAGTTGCCCAAGACATGTGTACAAAGCCTGTCACTATTCCCTGAGTGTTTATTCAAGATGTGTAAATGCTACTGTGTAGTTCAGTGCTGTGTTCATGGCAGGTACTGAATAAAATGTTAATCCCTGGTCTTAAAACACTTCTGCCTTGGGGTTCTCCAAAACCTCCTGGCAGTTACTTGCGGGAAGTGTACTGGGTAAGCAGCTGCCCTCCTACCCTATGTTTTAGAAAATAATCACTGTTTAATGTGGCAACCCTCAAAACCTCTTGCAATCTAGCAGTTTTTTAAAAGTTTAAATAATTCAGTAGCTAAATAATGCTTTGAAAAAATTCTGTCCTCACAATTTCTCTGACCAGTTAACATAAATAAAATCCACTTTCAACATAACTGAAGAGATTAAAAATAATTTATGAGGCTAAAGCACTCTGCAGTTATTTCTTTTAACAGAATTCAATCAGGTTTTAGTTATATTAAATTGCACCAAAAAACACATATCCAAACCATTTACCACAAAAACGATGTGACTGCGCAATGCCAGCTTTCCCCCAGTCCCTCCCCTCATTTGGTTCTTCTTAAAAACTTTTTAAAAGACTGTCAGGAATAACCTGTAAGTTAAAAGATTCAAAGACAAAATTAAAGAACCCAAACTAAATTTTTTTTGGTGGGCTACAATACTGGTTAACTAATTACACCAATTATACCATGTACAGTAATAATTTTCACCTCAAGGAAGAAAAACTGCAGCCAGGAAAGGTCTAGGGAAGGCAATAAAATTATCAAGGGTGGCAGCTTCTGCATGAAAATATAGATTAAAAAGAGTAAAACTTGTCATTCTGGAAATATAAAAGGATATATGATCATGGACTATAAAATCATGAAGGGATTTATACAGGTAAACAGGGAGTTTTTCACTGAGTCCCAGGTCAACTGGATTAAGATCTTCCCCTCAATCTCTAGGATAGCTTTCATGAAAAAGAAATAATTTTACCAAAAAACTATTCATTCATCAACTATAACTGCTTGCAATGCACTATGGAAAGCAATGTGCTAAGATCCAAAAAAGATACAAGACTTGGTCACACATCTTAAGAAGCATATAATGAAGTAGTAGAGACAGGTTATGAGTACAAGAATATTAGATAACCAGATTAACAACACAAGGTAACAAAACATAACATCTGTGCAAGCATACATGACATTGTCATCCACATAAGAAGGCCTATGATGTCAGAGAAATGAGAAGACACTAGAGTGATTAGGAATGATTTTACAGAAGGAAGAGTGATCTGATCTAAATCATGAAATATCAGTCAGATTTAAATGGACGGGGAAGAGGGGAATATTCCAGAGAAAGAGAATAGCACATTCAAAGGCACACAGCCAGGTAAATACAGTACATGCTTAGAAAATAGATCTGGCTTGACCAGATCAGTGAGTTTTTTTATATAGGGGCATGGACAAATATATTTGGCGCCAGATCAACAGGGAGTGATATTATGAAAGTGACAGCAGGATTCAGGGAGAACTGGAGGAAAGCAAGACTGCGCAAAGAGAGAAGTTATGTGACTAGTTACAGGTGGAGTTCAATGAGCTATTTAAAGGCCTGGCCCTGGAAGGTAATGAAAAGAAAGGAATAAAAGACAGTGTACTAAAAAATGGACAAGGATCACATGGAAGAGTAAAGCATGAGGGAAGTCAACACAGACTTCAAGGTTTTCAATCTAGAAACCTGAAAGTACAGTGAGCTCAGTCATAGAAATAAAAGATGGCAAGGAAAATGATGGTTGAGCTCTAGAGAAGGCAGAGTTGGGGTGATAATGACACACCCAAGAAGACATGTTTGGTAAGTAGTTAAAGAAGTAGAACCCCAAAGATTTGGACTGGAGATAGTGACTTGAACATCACCTATTTGGACATGACAAATGAGTAGGTGATGCCCTTCGAAAAGTGACTATAGTGAGAGAAATAAAACAGACTGAGGACTGAAACCCAAGGGGCTCCATGTTTGGGGTGGGACAAGAAGGATGTGGTTAGGCATTCACATACTTGCCTGGGCAGTGAAGTAGTCACAATGCAGGTAAGCAATTTAAAGCAGCACATAGTGAAGGTGAAAAGAGAGAAAGAAAAAGAGAGATAGGTATCACTTTTGGAGGCACACCTCTGACTAAGGGGACAGATTTCTATGGCTACTGGCTGGCTGTGATTCCCCAGCTGGGGTCAAGTGAGGTTTTCAAGATTGTAGAGAAGAAGAGCCTCTGAATGCAGTGGGGACTGTGAGCTAGAAGGTAGACAGAGGCAAAGCCCCAAGTAGGATGGGCTGTGTTTGTGTATGTGGTGTGTAAGGAGAAGCCACAAATGCAGCCATCCTCTGGTCTAGAGGAATTGGCTTAAGAATCTGAAGAAGCAAAACTACGTATGAAAGAATTTCCTGCAGTATATACGGAAGTGAAAAAATATGTAAATGAGACTCTAAGTTTCCTGGTACCTATTGAACACTAAGAAGCAAGGTGAGGCAGATCAATTTTGGCTGTGTGAGCTGGAAAAGGAAGCATACAGGAGATGGCTCTTGAGTAGGGTTTTATGATGAGTAAAATTTTTGTTAGGCCAGGGGAATTCAGAGAGAATTCCAGATGAGGAAATGATATGAGAAAAGTTTTAGAAGCTGCCCTGAGCATAGCACATGGAAGAGACACAAAGAGAGAACAACCAATAGGAGTGGAGAATCTATGCTGGATAAGAGAGTGATAATGGACACAACCATGTAGAGACACATTAAGGGACACTGGGGAAGCCTGAAGTGCCACATTCAGTCATCTAGCCTTCAGTCCTAAGGGACTATGAAACCACTGAAAGTGTCTGAGAAAGAATATATCATGGGAAGAGTCGTGTTTTAATAACATTAATTTGGAAGTGTGGGGAAAGAGATTGCAGGTGCGTGAGTGAAAGCAAGGAGACCAGTGAGGAGATTAAATCAAACAGTCTGTGTGTAAAGTTACAAGAGTTTAGACTAGGCTGGCAGTAAAAGATTTCAAAAGATGGCACCAAAATGAGAGCTATGACAAAAGGTGGGATCAACAAGATATGATGACTAAATATGGAAGGAGAGGAGGAAGATCAAAAGTAGTTTTTTAAGACTTAGGGAGCAAGAGAACAACGGCACTGGTAACAGGAATAATATAAGACAAGGGAAAAACCAAACCAGTCTGCATAGAAAATTACAAGATCTGTCTTGGACACTAGAATTTAATGTGACAGTAGGGAATCCCATATGGAGCTGTCTAGCAGACAGCTAGAAATAGGAGATTGAACATCAAGAAAAAGTCAGGGCCAGAGATTTTTTCTGAACCCAGACTGGAGTTCACTGCAGCCTTGAACTCCTGGGCTTAAGCTCTCCTGCTGCCTCAGCCTCCTGAATAGCTGGAACTACAGGTGGGTGCCACCAAGCCCAGCTACTTGTTTTTTGTTTGTTTATTTTTGGTAAAGATGGGGTCTCACTATGTTGCCCAAGCTGGTCTCAAACTCCTGGCCTCAAACAATCCTCCCTCCCACCTCAGCCTCCCAACGTGATCAGATTACAGGCATGAGCCAGTGAGCCTTGCCAGGGCCAGAGATTTATCAAAGAAAGTCAGAGAAATGGATGTCCTTATCCAAAGAGATAGTCCATAAAGTAAAAAACAGAAAGATTAACTTTGCCCTAGAAAAATTGATAATTAGGGAGCAGATAGAGGATAATACAAAATAAAAAAGACACTAGGTTGTCAAAGAGGATAAAAAGCACCAGGACCACAGGCTATCACAGAAATGAAGGAAGGAGAGTTTTAAGAAGGACATAACTGATAGTGTCAATTGCAAAGGAGAAATGAGAAAGAGACTGGCAGACAGCACAAGGGATTGGGCCAAGTTTGCTTGCAAGCAAGACAACAGAGTAAGAAGAACAAAAAGAATGCATGGGGCCAATGTCATAGGGGACCTAGAAGTAGTGGAACAGAGGCAGCAGGCACAAAGAGAGAGAGAAGTCTGGAAAGTGAACAACTGGACAGCAAACTTGAGAGGACAACAAAGTGCAGCATGGGTTTAATTCAAAATGAGGGAAGGCTTCTGAGTTTGATCACAAAGAGGAAGAAGATAGGGAAGAAGAAATTATACAGTAATAATGGCTGTCTGAAGAAGAAAAAAATTAAAAGAAAACCAAACATTTGCACATATGTGTACAGAAGTATCCAGAATGGAACATTAACTAATGTCCAGAGTTACCTGGGCTTTCTGTAATGGCGCCATCCGGCAGCAGAGCACTGCAGTACACTTCATACAAATTTGTAGGAAAATGTTTTTGTAATTGTTTGAATTGGAGCTAGAATTTAGTATGAGTGACAATGCGGAGCCATCGATGATTAATCCATATTCCTGATGTTCAGTCCATGCTCTGAAAAAGAAAACCAATGCTGTGTTTGAATCTATTATACATTTCTATATAGAATCTTGATTTTTTTTTTAACCACAAAGAGGAGGTTCCCAGAAAAGATGAGTTATCAATCTGGTTACTTGACCTGTTCATTCTAAAGAAGTAACTGTCTCTAATAATGGCACAACAGTGACTTTCAATCACATCTTTGAGATTCACGCTGCACATGTAGATGATGGTAAGTTCTATTTAATAAAAGGTATAGAAATAAAGGAGGTTGAGCAGCCTGCCTTTGTATAAGAAATTCAAGGTGAATATTTGGAATTATAGATCAGTCACTCAAACTCTGATATGAAGACAAATCATCAGTTAATTGAAACTCCCTAACAACATGGAGAAAAGACAAAATGGTTTTAGGGTAAACAAATCAGAGACCTTTCTCTAATATCTTTGCCTGAGTGAAAATACCTATCCATATAAGATGGCCTCTCAAATATGACAGTATCTAAAAGACATGATGTTCATTGAAGAATGCCATACAATACTAATATATATTCCTTAAATAAGTATTATTTATACTAGCTTAGTGGTTCCCAACTCTAATCTTCCTGGTTAGAAATATCTGGGTGGCTTTAAGAAATTGCCCATGCCTGGGATCCATCCCCAGACCAATTAAATCACAGTATCTTGGGCTTGGCTATATGCAGGTATATATTTTTTTTTTTTTTTTTGAGACGGAGTCTCACTCTGTTGCCCGGGCTAGAGTGCCGTGGTATCAGCCTAGCTCACAGCAACCTCAAACTCCTGTGCTCAAGCAATCCTTCTGCCTCAGCCTCCCGAGTAGTTGGGACTACAGGCATGTGCCACCATGTCCGGCTAATTTTTTCTATATATTTTTAGTTGTCCAATTAATTTCTTTCTATTTTTAGTAGAGACGGGGTGTCGCTCTTGCTCAGGCTGGTTTCGAACTCCTGAGCTCAAACAATCCGCCCGCCTCGGCCTCCCAGAGAGCTAGGATTACAGGCGTGAGCCACCGCACCCGGCCTATGCAGGTATATTTTAAAAGCTCCCTAGGTGGTTCTTATGTATAGCCAGGACTAAGAGGTATTAGGTACCAGGAAAGACAAATGTAATAGGTGACAAATATTTAAGAAAAATATATGGGGGAAAACTTACAACTGAGAAAATTCTATCAATTAAAATTCTTTTTGCAATTAAAAAAACAGTGGTTATTCAATTTTTGTTCAGGGAATCTTATGTCCCATTTGAGAACCACTGCAGTAGAAGCATTAGACACAGAAGGATCTCATAGTTATAGATTTAGCTACCTAATTTAATGCTACTCAACGTTTAATGTACAAAGGAATCACCTGGGGATCTTGGCAAAATGCAGATTCTGATTCAGTAGGTCTGGGGTGGGACATGAGATTTTTGCATTTCTAATAAGCTGCCCAGTGACAATGGAGGTGCTATGCTATGGACTAAACTTTGAACAGTGAGGGCCTAATATATCTCAACACTCCTTTATTCCATATTTCTTCAGTGCATACTACTAATGCCATAAAAAATATATTGTACTTAATCTATATTTTGCTTCATAATTTTATGAGCACTTTTTATTCACTAATTAAAGAAACAACCATCATGTGTTCTCTTTCTTTGTTCCCCTACTCATATAACTGACTTATTGGCCAGAAAACAGCAGTTCAATAATCAATCAATATTTGTAAGCACCAACTATAAGCAGGCCATATAGGAGAATACAAATAATTATTAATCTTTTTTTTAGAGAATAGAAAATCTCCTTGGAGTGACAGAGGCATACATGAGAGAACATACTGGACCAAACAAGATAATAAATGGTTAACACCCAGTCATTGGGATAACAAATCACACAGGAAAGAACAGTGGGTTCTTGGTGGTGTGATATCTAAAGTGAGACTTGAAAGAGAGGGAAGAAAGAGGTGAAGGGAGAGAATGAATGTTGTGGCGCACTGGGAAAGCAAAGTGAAAAGGTCACTTAAGGCCTTTGGTGTACCTGAATCTCGGGGTAATGGAGAACCACTACAGGTTTCAGAGCACGGTTGTGATATAAACAGTGCTTCACTTAAAGAATACTCACCTGGCAGAGGGGCATAAGGGATCTGAGGTGTGAGGTGCTAGGCCTCGGATGTGGGGCACTTGTGGTGAGAATGGGAGCAGGATAAGGCTTGGGGGCTGATGTGAAGAGGAAGGGGCCAAGGAGCAGAAGAAGCTGGCAAAGGCAATTCTAGGTCTGAAGCCTCTGTAACTGGGGAACAACCTGTGCCCGACTCCAAACAGATAACCAGGAAGAGGGGTTGATCTGAGATGGTGATGGTGTGATAAGTTTTCCATACACCTTGGCTTTTGCAAAAGTGCCCCAGAGCTATTAAATGGTGGTATGAACCGAACTGTGTTCCTCCAAAACTCACATGTTGAAGCCCTACCCCCAGTGTGATGTTACTTGGAGATGGGGCCTTTAGAAAGTGATTTAGGTTAGATAAGGTCAGGAGGGTGGGGCCTTCACGATGCGATTTGTGCCTGTTATGGACTGAATTATGTTCTTCCAAAATGTATCTGCTGAAGTCCTAACTCTCAATGTTATGGTATTAGGAGACAGGGCCTTTGGGAGGTAATTATGCTTAGATGAGTTAATGAAGGTGGGGTCCCCAGATTGGTTTACTGCCCTTATAAGAGGAAGAGACACCAGAACTCCCTCTGCCATGTGAGGACACAGGAAGAAGGCAGCCATCTGCAAGCCAGAAGAGGGGCATCATCAGAAACCAACCATGTTGGCACTCCAGTCACAGACTTTTAGCCGCTACAACTGTGAGAATTAAATTTCTGTTGTTTAAGCCACCCAATCTATGTTATGTTGTTATGGCAGCCCAAGCAGACTAAGACAAAAGGACAAGTAAAATTTATGTAATTTGGACTGTCTTTACAAGTACTATTTGGCTACAGAAAGGAAACATTTCTCATGGACAATTAATAAAAACCTGTTTATTCTCACTGATGCCCAAATACCAGAAGAACAACAGCTGTTTTAGAATTGGCCATAGCTTCGTGAATTTGGGCTATTCATTTTTAAAGCTAAGTTTAAACACTAGAGAAGAGGATCTAGATACAGCACAGTTTAAAACCATGGGCCCTGGAATTGGATAGACTTGTTCAACCCCTTAATAGTTGAGTCATCTTGAACAAGCCATTTCATCTTGCTGAGCTTCAGCTTCCCTATCTGTAAAATGAAGAAAATAAGATTGCCTAACTAGGTTGTTAATGTTGATTAAATGAGAATAATCATACAAAGCACTTAACACTGTTTGTGGAACATAAAGTGTGCTCAAGAAATGGAAAATAGTATTGCTTAGGGGTCTCTGGAGTTAGTGCAGGCAAATTCAAAAGCATTCCAAAAAAGGAAATCAATTTGCTTATGGCCAAGGTAAATTAAAGTAATTGGCTCAGACAAGACTGAGCCTTGATCGATGGGAAGTACAGAAGATATATCTCTGGGCATTGAATTATTATGGATGAGTGGCTTTCCTTGACTCTTAAATTCCACAGGTTCTTCCTAAGCAGCTAGCTGAAAGCAGAGTCAAAGTGGCCATGTTAATAAGTATTTGGTTCCCTTTGGAGCTCTGGGGCATGAGAATCCACAGAAAAGTGTTCCAGAACTCAAAGTGCATGGAAACTATTAGAGAGACTGATTATATTCAATTTAAGAGACCATGAAAAGGAATATTTTTTCTTAACATAAACCAGGCCAGAATATCAATATTGAATACCCATACTCCAAACATTTAAAAATTGAACTATTTTTTTTTATTTCTGCATATTATGGGGGTACGAATGTTTAGGTTACGTTGCCCTTGCCCCCTGCCCAGTCAGAGCTTCAAGCGTGTCCATCCCCCAGATGGTGCGCATGAACTATTTTTCTAAACCCTGAGAAATGCTGAGTTTTCTTTTAAGTTAAAAGAGAGGTGGAAAGTGCCAAATAACTTCAAACAGGCTATTAGCCAAGTCTCAGGGAAGATTTTAACTTGTAAGGATAAAACACCTGCAAATACAAAATGATAAATTACAGAAAATGGAGCTTGTTGCTTAAGCAGCTATGATTTACATCTGTACCAATGTCTAAATATAAGAAACTGATGCACTTTCTTACTTTTTAAGGCTTCTAGTACTTTTAGGAAATTCATGCAGCAACTTCTTACGATATTCTATCAACAATTCATGTAATCGATCTTCTTTCCTTTCACTTTCTTCAATAGTTTTTGCGGTCAGTTCCAAGAGCTCGGTGTTTGTTTGGAAAAGACGGCAGGCATAGCACGTGGATTTGGCTGTCTCCATCTTGTCCCCAGTAAGCACCCAGACTTTCAGGCCTGCTGCATGTAGAGCTTCAATGGTCTCCGCAGCTTGATCTTGTAGCCTGGGAACACAAAGGAAACCCTGTTATCCTCTAAAATTCCTCATCAAGATTGTATAAAAAGGCTTGCTAAAGAGAATTTTTTTTTATGATTCATAGCAATTCTAGAGTCCTGACACCTTATCATGGTTGGTTTTCTTATATATCCCCTATTCATTGTGAGAGTGTTATCACTGGCATAGTTTTACGTATTAAAGTGAATTTCAAACAGTGAAGTTTGGAAAAGTTTGTGATACCTTTTGAGGTAACTAGTATCCAGTGGCAGAATTGAGAATTGTCACTCGAAGCTAAAATGTTCAGAAACTCAACAAATGTTTGTATTTATTGTCACTTTAGCAAATTTCATGACATGTTATATCTCACCACATAAACACTTAACATGGGTCAAAATATAAAAAACCAAACACATGCTAATCAGACACTGAGAGAAGTTAGTAAATGCCCATCCCTGAGGAGCTTTAAGAACAAGAATGCACATCACCTGGAATGAGAATTTAAGTATAATTCTGAAAGGCAAGGATAGAAAAATAATACTTACTTTGGGTTCCTTTTGGCTATAGAATAACAATGAAATTCGATTAAATGAATTTCATTACAATTTCGATACCTTCCAATGTGGCTAAATATATGTTTGTAACTTTTTGTTTGGTTAAGTCTTATAATTTGCATTTATAATTTTTAGAAAACTCCCCAAATATTAAGAACCTAAAACTTATTATTTCAAGTAGACCAATGCTGGAATCCTACAATCATGTCTGAAAGAGCTCAGCCTGTATAGTTAAAAGCAAATTGTTTTAAAGTATACAAAAACACTCTGGTCTGTTAAACCAGGTTAGATTAAGCTCTCATGTTGTTTCCTCTACCTTGAATTTCCTTTCTGCTCACCTCTGTCAAAATCTTAGCCCTTCTTTCAGGCACCAGCTCAAATGATGGCTCTAGCACCCCTTTCTAAACATGCCAAAGCTATTTCATAAACATCTGCATAAGTAAATTGATGGCTTAGTAAATGTTCAAAAAATCTTAGTGATAACTGATTCATTCATCTAAGTCATATGTATTTAACTTAAAAATCATTCCCACAGGCCGGGCGCGGTGGCTCACGCCTGTAATCCTAGCTCTCTGGGAGGCCGAGGCAGGCGGATTGTTTGAGCTCAGGAGTTCGAGACCAGCCTGAGCAAGAGCGAGACCCCGTCTCTACCGAAAATAGAAAGAAATTAATTGGACAGCTAAAAATATATAGAAAAAATTAGCCGGGCATGGTGGCGCATGCCTGTAGTCCCAGCTACTCGGGAGGCTGAGGCAGTAGGATTGCTTGAGCCCAGGAGTTTGAGGTTGCTGTGAGCTGGGATGATGCCACGGCACTCTAGCCAGGGCAACACCGTGAGACTCTGTCTCAAAAAAAAAAAAAAATCATTCCCACAAACACTTCAAAATCTAGTATAATTTTTCGTACGTGCTACAATAAATGAATCTTTAAGCCCATAACGACAACAAAGCTAAATCAAAGATTTCAAACCTTGAGAATAAATTACTAATCTAAGACAGATCACACCCTAATGACTGGTCACGTAAATAACAAGAGTATCATTTTCTAGTTACTTGTCTTCCACTGCAGTGGCTCCAATTAAATTCATGTTTGTCTCAATATCATCAAAAACCTTTTCCATTTTTTCTTCTCTGTCTTGTAAGGCCATTTTTGCCTCTATGAGCTGTCTGTTAATTATTTCATAATCATCTGGAGCAATTTCTTTGAAGGCTACACAGAGTGTCCGGTACCCATCCTAGAAGTAAAGGAGGAAATCTATAGTTATCCTCATAATAATGGAAAAAAAACCCCACACTCTTTTTAAATATTCTTGCTTTACCCATATATACAAAATAGAAATTCTGAAAGGTTTTTAGTTTAAAAATTGAACAGATTCCAACTAAAAAGGTAACATTCAATTAGGTTCAGAATAACAAAATAATAGCTCTTTTAACGATTCTTGAAAAGTCTTCAAGGCTATAAATTCTGACCAGACACCTGCTCCAGGATAACGTTTTATATTAAAATAAGAAAAGTAATATTATTAAATCCCCAAACACAAAAAATAGACCACAAAAATAAATTAAAATTCATTTGAGCATTCATTTAAATAGCAATTCCTATGAACATGGTCATCTCTAGCATTTTTGTTTACTTATTGGTAGGAGGAGGGGTATAGACTCACCATTGCATTACGTTCCACATGGACTTTAGTTAACTCAATTTCATGATTTTGCACCCTGGGGAAAACTGCTGAGTCTGCTCCTTTACAAAAGAGAAGTATGTCTCCTAAAATAACCAAAGTACTTGAATCAGAATTTTAAGACTGGCATTGGGAACTATTAAGGTAGCCTCTCCCACCCAGGTGTTGTATATTCTGAGCCTGCCTTGCAAAGCTCACCTAAATGGAATGAGACATCTTGACCCTTAGTGTGTCAGGAGAATATTCACCACCTCTTCAGGCTATTACGGATACAACTAATAAGCCAGAGTTTACAACATGCACCTCTGTTAAAATGTAAGTCCTCCCAGCAAATCATGAAGGACTGGGCTTTTGTCAAGGAGCTAAAACTGAATTCTTTTTGAAAATGTGGCCATGGCCTAAAGCGCCATGAATATAGCATCTGCAAATGTCAAGAACCAAACTCAAGCTCAAATAAGCTGACAGTATTTTGAATAAACTACACAAATTAACTTTTAAAATGCTGGCTTAATGGTTTTTACTGGAATTTTGAGAATAGCTTTGCAGAATTCTGGTACAACTGCAGCTTTAGATCAATTCATGTACCCAGGGAATATTCACATTTGAGCACTAAGACATATACTTTATCCTTATAAGGGAAACATTTGTTGAACTCAGCTGAGTTCAACAAATTAAAAAGTGTAGCTCTGAGGTCAATGAACTTTGCAGACCACTTCCCCAGACATTTCACCATTTGTAGAACATACACATGGATATGCACACATGAGAACAGCAAGTATTTAAAATGTTAAGTGTTTTTTTTTTCCATTTCCTCTTACACATCTAAAATGTGTTTAAAAGTTACAAAACAAATTCCACGGTCACATACTAAAATCAATTTCATGACTTTGCAGTCACACCACAAAGTATGAATACAGGGGGATATGCTCCCCCAAGAGTCTGTCTGCAACCTCCCATTCTCACATTAAGGGATTCAGAACAGATTTAATGCTAAAAAGTAAATTACTGGGAAATAAATCAAGGATATTTTAAAAACAAACCACCTGGGCACACCACACACATGCACACAAACACATGCCAAAAGGCTGCAAATGAAGCAGGAGTGCTACCCCCTGGGTCTTGCAGAATCTGAGCAGAAGGCAAACCACCATGGTGCCTTGCAAAGACATGGGGGAGCCTGGGACGATGGTACCAGTTGCCCTGCAAAGGGCAAGCTTTACTGTCAAAGAGCCCAAGCTCTAGTGTGAAACCGCAATGCCCTTTTGCAGAAGTCATCTCTACCTCATCTGCATCCAGGGAGTGTAAAGCAGTAGGGTAATCAGAAAGGTCAGGGAGGGATAACCAGCAACTCTCTGCACTCAAGGCTTCTGCGGCTAGAAATCCCAAACCACCCAACTATACTGAGTTGCTACATAGAAACATTACTGGTGACTAGTCAGTGCCCTGAGCCATACAAAAGTCACCCTTTAAGTTCCTGTTTGGACACCTAGAGCAGAGGAATAAAGTTCTATCTCCAAGAAAATGCATATACTGTTGTACCAGGGCTTCTGTCACTGATAGTTTGGCAAACTAAACATATGTCCTTAAATAAATACATGAAGTCACATAAAAAAGCCACTGCTTTGAATGACTTTAGCTAATCCAAAACCACTATATGAAATGTTTCTCTTTCCTGATACAGTTGATTAACATATATGCCTACAATTGAAGAAAGGGAAAAAGTCAAGTTTTAAGATATATACCTTCTTGAGTCTTCACAATTACACTCATACGTCGGCGGACAGAATCAAAGTTTAAGGTGTGGAGAAGTTCATACCTTTAAGAGAAATGAGAAAAGTAAAATACCTAGACCACACTGAGAAAAATAAAACACAATAGTAATCTTAAGATATTTTAACATCTTAGATGAACAGATAGCTCTCCTCTTTCGGTGAGGGTCACTGGTTGTGTGCACAACTATACTTTCCCTTGTCTTGAAATTTCTCTGCATGCCGAACATGCTGTCAGAGAACACTAGTGTTGGTTAAAGGGTATTTATAGCCTCTCACTATATTACTTAAAACGGTAAGGAGAATGACTAAGTAGGAATGGAGGACAAAGAGCTGTCCCACTAAGCTATATCTGGAGGGGTCTAGAAATAGTCCCACTCTGCCAATTATAATTATTTTACTAGCATCTATGGAGTACCTATTATGTTTCAGGCACAGTGCTAGGTGCTGGGAAACAAAGATGAATCTGCCAGAGTCCCTTCCCTCAAGGAGCTCACCATATGATAACAGAGACAGAGGATAATAACTACTCTCCCAGTGTGTTGAATACTATAATAAAGGCACTCACGGGGGAGATGTGAGAGCACAGAAGGAAGCCATCCGAAAGCTGGCTTCCTGGAAGAGGCTGTGCCTGAGCTGGGTTCTGCAAGAGTAATATGATGAAGAAAGAGGACCATGGCATTCTGAGTAGAGTAAAGAGCATGTGCAAAGCCACAGAATCATGAGAGAACATGGCTGATGGGACTTTAAGTAGTTCACTATTGCCCAAAAAACTCATTGATGAGGAAACAGTAGGAGATGAAGCAAGAAATGTAAGCAGAGGCTGGAAACTGAGAACTCTGTAGGCCATTTGGGATTTTGTCCTAAGAACAACAGAAAGCCAATGAGGGGTTTAAACTGTGCAGTGACATGATGAGATTGATCAGATTTGTCTGTGGAAGGCTGAACAATTAATCAGATGAAGGGATACAGAAGAGTTAAAATAAGAAATAATTATTACAAAATGTGTAAGGGAATATTTTCCTTAAACAACTTGGATACATGTATTTAACATAAAAATATTTACTATATGGCTTGTTTTTGGTGGGAAGTAGGGGGTCATTGGTTTGGGGGGAATGTGTTTATATAAGACATTTACATGTAGCATCTCCTTTGGTGTTGGCCAGGTGGGGGCACTGTTGTGGACTGATTAAAATCTGAACTCTGACAATGATCCTGGGTCCTTGGCAGTCAGATGCCCTTCCTCTGGGCTTTTGAGCATCCTTCCCCAAGGGGGCACATTACCCAAAGCACCTCTACGTGTATTACAGGTTTCTGAGATGGATCTCAGGAAACCATAGGGGCCAGAATGGAAGTCAGGTAAGATAATCACATTTCAAGTTCAGATGAAGTTTAAATTAATCACAGAGCCCAATTAAGCCAAAGTAGCTTTGTTCATTGGGGTCTTTGTGGCAAAAGAGGAAAGTGGAAACACTGCTGTGTCAGAGTACTAGCCCTGAGGTTCACACCTGAACATCCAGAACAAGACAAATCTTTTGGTTCACACCAAAGCTACCATTATGGGCTGCGCTTACAATCCCACAGTGATTGCTAGGGTTCTGGACAGCAGAAGGTTTAATGTATATTCACTGATTTTTTGTGGAGCATGTGTTAGAGACCTAAAATGGCATCTAGATTTCAGAAGTAGTCTAGGCAGACTCTCTTTCTGGCTACTAGACCCATATGTGAACCAAATTGGAATTTCCACCACAAACCCCCATTTCTGCCATTCTATGAAAAATGGCTTCTATTCCAACTAAATTTATATAAAACTCTGAACTGTTAGAGCAGAGTCCTGTATTTATAGGGGCATCAATTTCCTTTTCTGCCCTGCCTGAATCCATTTAAAGTTGACTGTGGGGTTAGGAAGTGACCGACAAACATCAAACACAGAGCTACTTACTCTTCTATTTCTTTTCTTTGGTTCTCTACTCTCATATGTCCATTCCGATTTCCTAAAAATGTGAACCCGTACCTATCAAAAACAATAAAAAAGACCTTTGTGTACCTGTATAGAATGATTAATTTTCCCTTGCACTGGGGCTACTCATGCTTGTTTATTCTTTTCTTTGCTTTCATATAATCTCAACCTAGAACTGCACTTCCCTTTCCTGGATGAATTGGCAACATAGAGCAAGTCAATGCCCAGCCACAAATTATTGTAACCAAGGGAGAGGCAATTTGTAATTCCAATTCTGCAACTAACACACTGGGTGACCTTTTAGCCATGTAATCATCCTGGGCCTCCCGGGTAAAACTGGACTGTCAGTTATCAAATGACACCAAAATTGCTGGGAGCACTTCAGAAATAACATGTGTTATACAAAAAGTGGCCACTGTTGTATGATTTGCAAAATATAATATGAACATTCAGACTTCTGGCTGGCATGCATAAATAGTAAGGCAAGTTATATCTATGCATCATCATTTTCTTTTGGGTCTTAATTGGTTAGTTTTGGGAATTTTCCACAAACTTCTGGATAAAGCACATTTTTTATATTAAATAACAGGGGATGTACACAATAAGGTTACTGAAGCAAACAGGGAAAACCAAAATAACTTCTGTCCTCTTGTGATTTCACTTTCTCAGAAGTACCAAGTACTTACTTTTTAGCTCCTTTCACCAAAGCTATTTCATCTGGTGAAGAGGAGATATAGGTTAATTCAGCTGATTCTGTAGCTCCATCAACAGCATCATTCATTTTAATTTCTACAGTATGACATAAACACAAGGCACGCAGAAAGAGTTCTTCTCGATTCTGTGGAACAGCAACAGGAGAATGGCTATTATTTTTTACTTTGATCACTCAGTAACTGGGCAGTGAAAAGAAAAAAGATACTAATGTGAGAGAATGTTATAACCTCAAGCAAGCTGAGTAACATACATCTATAAATTCCTAATACACAAATAAGCTATATATCATCCTCCTAGTACCCAACAGAGTTCCTGGTTCTCAGCTAGTGTACCCTAAAGGCTGTGTTAACTCATTCAGGTTATTATAGGGCCACCTAAACAAAAGCAGTGACTTCTTCATGGTCTAAAAGAGTTCATTCAGTATTTAATTCACAATCCAGCAATAGCGCAGGTGTAGGGAGACTCTGGTTCATTTAATGCCTAGATACCCCTGGGACTGTAATCATTTGAATAGACATCATTCTTGAAGGAGCTTATATTTGAAAAGATAAAGCACAAAAAATTATGATCACACTGACAGGCAAGCTTTTACCCAAATGTCATTTCCCACAATTCTCTCTACTTGTAAATTATACTAGTTTACAAATTCCAGAGGTGTTAGTAAAACAAGAAAGGTGAAGTCAAAAGAATAAACAAATGGTTATTCAAAAGTCTATGTTATATGCCTACTGGAAAATTCTTTCCACTATGCAGGTTTAACACATGCATACATAGATAGACTTCTCAGATAAAATGGTGATACAGAAAATGCCACCTTATCTGCTTTGTCAAAATTCGTTAAAGTTCCATCCGTTTGAGATAATCCATCAACCTCCTGAGTTACACCTTTATATCTGTGCCCATCTATGCAGCATTCAATGAATTCCATGCTGTTTTCAGTGAGTGTTCCAGTCTTATCTGTAAATACATAATCCACCTAAAAACAAAAACACAAACATATACATTTTTAGTTTCTTCAGTCTGATTAATTTTTAATTCAATGTAAGGCAGGGCTATTTTCATATCCATAGAAAATCACCTCTTCTAAGACTTCTTGTCAAATGTTCAGACACTTACAGAGGCAATATTATCAAAGAGATGTGAAATAAATGAGTACTTTTAAAGACACTGAAATAGTATCATATATCTAAGGGTAGACCTACTCAAATGTACATTAATAGGAAGAAAAAATGCAACCACTCTATCAAACTAAGAACCCCTCAATTTAAATTAACCTGTTTAAATGTAAAGAAGTTACATAAGAAAAGTCAATTTTCCAAGTGGGAAATAAGAATATATTGACCACTTATTTCACACTCAGACACACACACATATAAACACACTTTATGAGCTGGTATGTACATTACCCACTAAAAAATATTTAATAGGAGCTTAAATTAACTGGGAAGTAGCAAAATAAAATAAAAACTAATGGAGTTTCTTTTGACCCTTGAAAAGGAAAATTTTCTATAAAAATACTGGATTGAAGTAAAATGCATTATATCATATAATGTACATAAGAACTAAAAAATACAGAGGAAATAATAATAATGTTAACAGTTACCTAATTGGGACATATGTCAATAGTGATCAAAACATAACTTAAATTTCTTTCAACATACTATGCATATTTTTAATACACCTCAAAGAAGTTTCCAAATTAAATAAAAAGCAGAGTTCATAATGATGGGCTAAAGTATAAGACAAGGATATTTTCATAAACAATGGAAAAAATAAGCTATTAATCAATTTTTCATTAAAATAAACCATTTTGAGCATTTCCATTTTATCTCAGTTTTTTATCTCTTCTATTTATAACATCTGGCTTGTGGAAACCCACAATTTTATCCTCCTTTTTGGCAATTTATGCTTAAATAGTTAAAATTATGGGCTGACAGGAACAAGCATAAGTACAAGATTAAGGTTTTTATTATGTAAGGGAGAAAGAGATGAACTCCTGCAGTAGTTGCTTTCTAATTATTTTCAAAGCTTTTCACGGTAGCAGCACTGGCACAAATATAGCATTCCAATCTTCCCTTTTTTCCTGTTAAGCCAGCCAAGTTTGAATTCTCTCTTTAAATTAATCCAAGTGGTATTATTCATGTATCGTTTAGATTTTCCCAGTTAAAATGAAATTCTTTGGGGTTTTTTTCTGATCAAAATTATTAACTTTCATTTTCTCCTGAAGTCTGCCCTGCATTGTTTTACCTCCTGCCCTTCGATGAGCATTAACCCATACAGAATCTCTTTTATTAGTATGAAAGGTGGTAGCTTTAAAATATAAAGTACAATTTATTGGCCTATACATAATAGTTTGGGCAGTATGGATCTGCACGTATTGAAGCTCACAGGTTTAGGCCAACAAATTATACCCAAATGCAGCAATTATTAAATAGTAGTATGTGTCACATGCATTTGGGGGGCTTGTTAAAACTCATATCTCTGGGCTTTACCTCCAGAGTTTCTGATTCAGTAGGTCTGAGGTGGGGCCAGACCTACTGAAATTTGCATCTCTAAGTTCCCAGGTGATGTTGATGCTGCTTGTCTCAGGATTATACTTACAGAAACACTGCCCTAATATATGCCATCTACTCAGAAAGAAGGGAAGTTGGGATCAGCTGTGATTCATATTAAAAAGTATTCTCATATTTAAAGGACAGCGAGGGATAAAGAGAAAGGCTGCTACTTGACTCTGACTATCAAAGCAGCCTCTTCCTCTTTGGCCTTGCTGAAAAGCCTCCTTTATATCAGCAAGCTCAAACTCATCATTTTACGGATGGAAAGCCTAAATTGAGTATGATATTGTAAAATATATATTTGATCTTCTTCCCTGTTTCCTGACATAAAGCTCCTAAAATTACCCTTGGAATCTCCAGAATGATAAGAGTGTCTTTAGTATGCTAACAAAATGGCTGGTGGCCCCTATAAAACTTCAGGATGGGAGCTAATCTTGCAAAGACCAAGGCACGATTAGAGGGTTGAGACTTTCAGCCCCAACCCTGACCTGGGGTGGGAGAGGGAAGAGGGACTAAAGGTTAAGCTGATAACCAATGGCCAATGATTTAATCAATCATGCCTATGTGATAGAGCTTCCATAAAACCCCCCCAAAAAACAGGTTCAAAGAACTTCCAGATAGCTGAACATGTGGAGGTTCCTGACGGGTGGCATGCCTGGAGGGTTCAGGGAAGCTCTGTGCCTCTTCTCATATAACTCATCCCATATGCATGTCTTCCATCTGGCTATTCATCTATATCCTTTGTCATATTGTTTTATAATAAACCAGGAAACATGAGTGTTTCCCTGAGTTCTGTGAGCTGCTCTAGCAAGTTGATCAAATGAATGGGAAGAGGGTTGTGGGAACTCCGACTTATAACTGGTCAGGCAGAAGCACAGGTTACGATCTGTGCTTGTGATTGGCATCAGCAGTGGGGAGCAGTCTTGTGTGACTGAACCCTCAATCTGTGGGATCTAACACTATCTCCAGGTAGCTTGTGTCAAAATTGAATTGAATTAGAGGACACCCAGCTGGTTTCCACTGGAGAATTGACTGCTTGGTGTGTAGGAAAAAAATCTCACATATCTTGTGTCAGAGGTGTTACGTTGAGTGGCTGTGTGAGAATAGGGAAGGAAAAATGAAAAAACACTTTTTTTCCTATTTCTTAGTGAGGTAGCTACTATAGGGTTCCTAAGAGCTCTGAACTATATGTTGAACATGTGAAATTACCTATATTGTAGGTCAAAAATTTTTGTATGGTTCAACCTCATGGAACAATTGGACTCCATCTTGGCTCCACCACCTACTAGTTTTGTGACCTTGGGAAAATCTCTTCATCTTTCTGAACTTTAAATATTAACCTTAAATAACAATACCTGCTACACAAGACTTAACCCTTAGATTAAAAAACAAAGCTCAATAATAAACATGTTCTGTAAACCATAAGGTGCTTTATGGTTGATTGTCACTGCTGTTGATTTGACCAAAATCACACAGTACTAGACTCTTTTCATTGTCCCACATTCTCTAATTTTTCTGATTATGATCATATTGCTATAGTTAGGTCTGATGTGTGTGTTTCCCCAACTATATGGTAAACAATTTGAGGGTTTCTTGTTTATTTTACAATAGTAACCCTGGTACCTAGAACACATCCCAGGTACACAGAAGAAGCTGAACAAATAGTCACTGGAATTACTGGAATTAGAGTATATACTTAGACTATAATGTTATACCATTAGGCATAACTGCAAGACTGGGAGGGGAAATGAAGAAGGCTGGCCCTACGATTTTCTCAAGATGGATTAAAACCATTTGGTTGTCTAAACGATTGATGTCTAATCATAAAAGACCCCCATTATTTTCCACCTGAGCTGAGCAGTCTGCTTCCTTTTGTTTTTCACATCAAACACCATCCTAAACATTTCTTTGTTTTTTAAATACCAGTGTGGGTCATTTTAAAGAGGTTAAACAAATGCTTGCAATGGTATTGATGGGAATTAATTGACATTGCCTTTAGTAACATTTAAAACCCCATAGATCTTAAATTATGACTCATCAAAGAGGAAACTTGTTACACTTAATTTTGTGTGTACTGGTCCACTGAATGCTAAATGGCCCAAGAAACTATTTCAAGACTTCTTTGCATTTTTATTCAGGTAGATTTTCTATACATGCAAGCTGATAACGATGGCAAATAGTTTATACACTATTAATTGAAGTGGTGGTCTGGCTATTAACTTGGTGGTTTGACTAAATGACAATCACATCCAGAAATGCAAAGTTAGGTGGAGGAAGGGAGTGATGGCTAAAAGGAAAACTGTAGCTTCTTTTCACTGATCAAATTTACCAGATCATTACCCAAAGCTCTACTTTACTTTCTGTGTGTTAATACAGTCTGAGAAGAACAAGGTAATATGGAATCTGCTGAGGTAGAGATCTGAAAGAAAGAGATGAGTCTCATCAAGTGAAACCTGGCCTGGGAATCCTATCTGTTTCTGGTGAGCATTGAGTATCATATTTGGAACGATGGCTATTCTATTTGCAGTATATAATTGATGCTAGTCCCAGGCTAGCCATGCTCATCCTTGGGTAGCTTAAATCACAGAGCCAGCCACTGAATCTAGAACAGGCAGATTTATTCAGCATCCAGAGTGAACCACTAAAATAGCTGTCAAGGAAAGGCTCACCAGAGGTGGCTTATATACTCAAAAATATTTTTAATGCAAAAAAAAATCTGCAAAATTACGGCTTTTATTGGTACTAGAGTTGTTCTACATAGAAAGCTCTGTCCTTAGAAAACTTCTCGTTTAAAAAGGCGAGGATCAGTTGTGGAAACTCACATTACCAACAAAAGAATCTTCTGGGAACAATATCTAAGGGAAAAGCCATTGGTGCATTCATTTTTTATCCTATTCTTGGTGCCTCAGTATCTACGTGGGATGCAGACTCGATGGTCTGAGATACTGGTGTCCTGAAGTCAGTTCTAAACAAAATGATATCTGGATAATATTTACTTTTTCAACTCAAGTTGTTAAGAGGGTACTTTGGTTTAGGCTAAGGCTGGGGAACCTGTGGCCTTCTGATTTCAAGATTGTTCTTTTTAAGCACCGAAAGAGGCAAGAAAAGCTTCATCTTTCTCTATTGCACCCCTTTTAATAAAAGAATTTGTTCTGTAAAACTTGGATTCAATCAAAAGGCTGCACTTAAGGGCCTGGAAGGCCACATGTACCTCTAGGCAAAGGCTGTGTCAAGAGCAGAAATAGAGTGGGGGCAGTGGGAAGGCTATACCTAAGAAGAGAGTGTTTTGAGGTATAGATGCAAATGAGCCCCATGTAAAACAAGTGTGAGGCCCTGTTCCAGCCACACAGTTCCATTAACTGAATTTGCATCTCCCTATCATAGAAATGACATTTCCACAGCCTTGACATTCAAAATGTTGTGAGAATGAAATGCAAACCAAAAAATTCCCTCAACTTGTGAAGATCATTACATGACACACAGTAAATTCAAACAAAGTGAAAAACTTTCTCAATACTAATAAGAAAAACACCTAAGAAGTCATCACTTGAAGAATTATAGCTAGACTGCACTGCATTGGGAAATAAGTGCACCAGGCTTAGAAATGAGGTCCCATACACTGGTATATGAAGCAAAAAGCATTTTGAGGAATACATGCCCTCACATTTTCCCTTCATTTAAATTCTTGTACTGGAATAAACAACTCTGCTAGCTACGTCTATATTCTATTTGATCAGAATGTACCAAGAAAATGTCAATAGGACAACTCTGGCCAATTTTGTTTAAGGAACAAAATGCAATTATAAAATACCTATATTTACTACCTTGTATCCACAAATGGTTATAGGTGGTGATGAAGACTATATATTTCCTATTTCAAAGCAACAATTCATAACAACATCATCCAGTGAGCTTTAAAGAGAATTTTAGTAACATTCAAATTTAATATACAAATTGCATCCTTCTCAAAAATACAGGCAAAAAAACTGATGCTATAGCTCTGAAAACACTGCTTAGTTTCATTACATGTCTGCATAAAAGAATTTTCTTTGAATCTCATTTCCAAATGTGACACAGTCACATATATTGGTAATCCAGAATACAAAAAAATACATTGTCATGATATTGATTTATTATAAGTGAAAGTATGTTCTAACCTGACCAAGTTCTTCATTAAGGTCTGATGTGTTCACCAGGGCTCCTTCATTAATTTCTTCATCATAAAAGTCCTTATCCCATGAGATGAAGAAGGAGCCCAAGAATTTCTGCATTTCTACCGTGACGTACATGGAGACAGGAATGATAAAGTTGAATAGGACCATAAATGATAGGAAGTCGGTGAACATTTTCAAAACCTAAAATAAAAGAGAGTTCATGCTAATTAGATGAACCACTCTATCAGATGAGTGTAATAGAAACAGTTAACTTTGTATCTTTTTATTTCAATGCTGAAAGCACTGCTCTTGCTGTAAATAAGGAACTTTCCCAATGACGCTCTACCATTATAGTCAAAATTACCACAGTATGTGAGAACATTTAAGAACACCCTCAATTTTATCATTATTCTTTGGCGTATACATCTTCTGTCAACACTTTTTTTACTTCCATAAGTTCTTTGTTCTTGCCACCCCTAGATATGAATGTGAGATCAAAGTTTATATGTAGGCATTCATTATGCTCATATTATAACATCTCACAAGATCATATTAAAATACCAGAGCTTCTTGCCAAATTGCTTCAAACTCTTAAAAAGCTAAAATCAAGCCCAGATGCCCAAAGTAAAATAAAAAAAACCCTCTAAAACTTCTTACATATTTAATAGCTTAGGGCCACCATACAATCAAGAGAAAGCCCAGAAGTTAACAAAAAGTGTCATTTCTTCTCTGAGCAGTATTTCAATAAACGGTGGCTTGATCGCAAAGTTCTAGAGTTACAATTTTCAGCAGAAAACAAATTACCTTCAAAGTCTCCCGCTCTTTCTGAGTCTTTTGGTTATACCAAGGTTCATCATTATGTGGGGTACTTTGCCAAACATACTTTAGAGTAGTGCATACTGCAGCTTTGGTCAGTAAGATAAATAAATACACAATCAGGAAGGCATTAATAGATCTGAAAAATAAGACAGTATGGATTTTAAAACCACCTAATTACTTAAGACATCGGCCAGATATGAATTAAACTGTTCAGTTATCTAAAGCTTCTCCTGTGTATGATGTGTAACCACAGCACAAGCCTTTATTACATGTGAACCTCAGTTATCACAGCTGCAGCATCACTCTCAAGTGGCAAAATGGAAACGCTAGCCCTGAACTGTTTATTGATCACCCCGAGTACAATGGCTGACTAACTTAACACTCCTTTAGTAAGATTCCTGTAAAGTGACGGGACACATACACATACACACATGCACACACACACCCCATAACCTACTCAACCTTACAGAAGGAGTAGCTTGCCTCCACTTCCCTGAATCCTAAATGTTTGGGATAGAGGGCACAGTAGCAATGTGAAATCCTCAAGCTCAGTGTAGATTCTTTCAATTCAAAAGTGGAGCTAGGGAGAGGGTGGCAGTGATAATACTGGTTATCCATGCAGGTGATAGGGAGAGGGCCATACCAGTGGCATCTAGCTTAAGGATCTACCAGGTACCACTTCAGTATTTTCCAGGAGACTATTATCTACATTATAGAACCAACTTGCATATAGTAACTAGAGGACCCCAAACCATTAATTCCAGTAACAAAAAGGAATAAAAGTATAGTTCAAATAAACTCTGTCCTTTAATAGTTATGTGAGTTTAGGTAAGTCATATACCATCTCTGGATCATTTCCTCATCTCTAAGGTGGAGAAGCTAACACAAATTACTTCGCAGAGTTGTTCAGAAGACTAAACCAAATCAGACATACAAAAAACTGAGCACAGTTTCTGGAACATGAACAAATGTTTAAAATGGTAGTTGCTATTATAGTTGTTTTTTGTTATGGTTGTTATTTGGAATTACTGAAGAAGTAACTATTTCAATCAATAACAACTAAGGAAATTGTGGTGCATACTAACTTTTCGACAGCAGAACGTTTCTGAGATTTCCCTTGGTAGTTTAAAGCCATTTTGGTTTCCATTCCAGTGTAAACAGCAACTCCTAAGGAATAACAGAATATAATGAAACCTGGATTGCAAATGAACTTGTCAACCAACTCCCCACCCAGTTAGCTCTACAAATTTCTAAATCTACAAAAGTGGGAATTCTAAGTCCCCTTCCAACTCACCAGTTGATATCATTAATAGCATAATTTTTAATTCTATATAACATTTGTCATATTCCATCTTAGTTTACCATCTTATAAATTCCCAACATCTAAACAGAGGTTTAGATTAAATGGCAATATCTACCATGTTCACTTTTTAACATGCACTATTTATTCACAGGCCTTACAAAGCATATTTCTGATGTGTATATCTTAAAAATTGTTTACCATATATCTTCTTAGTATTTTTTAGTGTAGCTCCTTTCAGCAAGAGATTTTCAGGTCCCAAAGACCTAAATAGAAACAACCACAGTGTATCCAAACAACACAATTGTATCATCAACTGTGGGGACAGATTTTGCTCTGAAACACATCTATCTCCAAGGGGTTCAGAATGTATCTGTCTACTTATACCATACGCTTACTCCCAAGGACAAGCTGAAAGATCCCTCTCTCTGAAGTTACTTGAGGGTATAGCACAGATGGAAGCACAGTAAAGGAGTAGCCAGCAACAGTGGCAAAATAATACATAAGGGGATAAAAGGATTATGAATCATAGACAGAGAGACAAGGACAGGACAAAGCAGCAGACATAGAGAAACAGAAACAGAGGATCACAGATAAAAAGACTGGGAAGGCAAATGCCAAGGTGGGGAAAACACTGACGCATTTATAGAGAGTAAACCCTCCTTTTGGAGGATCACTGGGAACTCTGTGTTTAACTTCTTTCTGAGACCTTCTGAGTATAGATACTGTTCTGAGTGTGGCTATAAAGGGCAAGTGGAAAAGTTAAGGTAATTAACTGGATGATAAAAGAGGAAAGAAAGCATCCTTTCTTGTATGAATTGCCTCATTATAAATGATCAGCCTTTCATTTTACCTAAGTCCAAGTAATTCTCTCAGCATTTTATCCACTGCCTAGTCCCTCAATTACTCTCCCTTAAACCACTGTTAAGTGTATTTCCAATGTTGTCAGCCACTGTACAACCAAGGACAACACATACAGTGCCTAGAGCATGTTTGGGAACATCAGTCAAAGTGTCTGGAGCTCTGCTATTTTGGAAACCCTAAGCATTATTTCCAACAACCCCCTAGCCCCCAACACACAGAGATCCTACCACCACAACCCTACCAATTACAAGGTTACTTATTCGCCTTTATATTCCTTTCTATAAAGAAAGGTATTTGGCTACTTTAGTGAATTTAAAAGAAAAATATACCCCCAAAGGACAGATTAAAGAAATAACAAACTAACCTGGCAACAGCTTCAAGACTATTACTATAGATATTGATTCGCCCAACAAACCTGTAAAAAGAACACAATTGCAAATGTGTTTTCTATATCCAGGTGAAACCCATATACCACAAATATGAGAAGAAAGCAAAATACAAATAATGCAGAAAAGATTAGACTCTGAATTACAAAAGCCTATTATATTTCTGGAAAAAGAAGTTATATTGAACTGATAAGGTATATAACATTTCCGTCTAATTTTTGAAATAATATTATGGATTATAAGAATGTAAACAAAGATTCTAAATTGATTTTCAAGCTCTATTTGGCATTATGCATGCACACAACACCTCTCTCCTTTATACCTTTATATAAATAACGTGACTTCTATTTTAGATTCACACGAAGAAAGGTTTCTGGTGCTAAAACACACTTTAAAACCATTAGTTCAGTAGTTCTAACACTTGAACATGCATAAGAATCACTGGAGACGTTATTAAATCACCGATTTCTGAGCCCCATCACTGAGCTTCTGATTCGGGTTTCCAGGTGATACTAATGCTGCTGCTCTAGGGACCACCCTTTTAACCGTAACATTGATCTTAGACAGTGAACACTTGATTACTATCTTGGAAATGTCCAGCCTGTGTCTTGCAGCTGATCTCAATACTGAGCTTGATCCAATCACATAATATGACTAAGCACATAGTAACCTGTATTTCTGCAAAATGGGGTAAAAAGGCCAACCCCTCCTTAGCAAAAGTATTATGAGTGCTTTGTAATTTGCATTGTAAACACCATTTTTTCCAAAAAAAATAGTAATATTTTATATTACTATGTGCACAAAATATGAAGGGTCTGTTCATTCATTCATCATATATTAATTGTGCCAGTACTGTACTAAGTGCTGAAGATACACTATTAAGCAAAGAAAAAAAAAAATGTTCCCTGTCCTAAGAAAGACAAGTAAACAGGCAATTATAGCGCAAGTGATCACCACTAGGGTGGTGGAAGTACCAGGTATTCTGAAGTCACATAGCAAGGGATTTGATCTAGTCTAGGAGAATTAGGAATAGCCTTCCTGTAATAACATTCTCCTTCATATTTAAGGCAACTGAAAAATGTGAGGGTTTCTTTATAAATATGCAAGGGTATAGACACTGTTCTCTAACTCGGACAGAATAACTCACTCCCTTCTCTGTGATCCCACAGCCCTTGTACTCACCTCTATTATCACACTATAGTGTACGCTTAGCATTACTGTTTTATCTCCTTTGCTCACTATGAGCCCCTTGAAGGCAGAGAAAAGCTGGTATACTTTGTGGCCCTAGTTCCTAGTATCAATGTGGATACAGAAGAGGAAAGGGAAGAGGAAAAAAATGATGGGAAGGAGAGTCAGGACGAATACTTTGTTTTTCTACTACTAGGTGTTAGTATAAATGACATCCAACCACTTGGACTACCCAACCACTTATGACTAAGATTGTTCATTAACAAGATGGCTAGGATGGGTAATGGATGCCATCTTTAATGGCAGAACAGAATGAAATTGGTCCGCATGGGGATAAAACCTATTTTACCTCAGGTTACTCTACCCTCATTAGTGCCATGCTCTAATCAACCAAACTAACCAGTACAAAATCAAACACCAAATTTTTGACAATCCACAATGATGGTTAATCAGCAGATCTTCTCCAGAGAACCTAAGTATAGTAAAATAGAGGAAATTATGCCATTTTACCGCTCCCTTAACTGTTTACTGTGGACAAGAAACTGGCTATTTGCAATCTTTAGTGCATCGCGATCATTGTAAGAAAGGATACAGTGCCTACTGATTGCATAAAGAGGATATCCATTCTCTCTTTAATGTTAGATGGCATGTAAAAGGGTTTATTGTTGTTTTAATCAACTCTGGTTACTGCATCAGCCTGATAGACCAGTCTTATGGGATAACTTAATTTTAAAATATGATAGATGGCTATGTTTATAAGTAACAAAAGTAAAAGAAAAATCATAGGATGCCTTGGCCCACAATGATTTATCTTTGGCTGGTAGTGAACAAGGCTGATTTGATTCATTTCCCTGCCAGAAGGAAGGAACAGCTCATAAAAACATAAATGAGAGTAGGCTGGTAAGTGGTGGGTGTTTCTTTGCAATACTGTTGGTGAAGAGAAGCAGAGCCAACAGATAGCACTAAAATGAAACCAGGTGATTCTTACCTGTAGAGGTCAGGTTGAGGCTGTTCACATTCAATTGTTGCTCTGAGGGTATCAATGGATTCAGCTGTACACAGTGCAATGGTGTCACGTACTGCATAATGTGTCTAGACAAAAGCAGAAGAAAAGCAAAAACAAAAACGAAATGTTTCTTTTCATAATTGTACATCCAACTAATTCCAGGAATATAGTTTGTTTTAATAAGAGGCTTTGGCAGAATAAACAAATACTGATGCACATTTCCCACCTAATAAATTTTATGGTATTATTCTTAAAATATATTACAGATAATTAGAAAGATAACCCTGCTGCAAGGGGATTTCAAAGACAATGAAAAAACTAAAAGCTCTTCTTGATAACGACAGTTGAGAGGATTCCATTTGCAGCATGCCATCTAATTAACCAAGATCCCATGAAAATTTTAATACATTTTTTTCTCTTATTTATAGAACTGATACTTATTATTTTTCTCACTATAGTGTATGGCAATATAGACATGCACATATGAATTGAATATAACCTTTTTGGTCATAAGAATGCTAAAATTTTGCCAACATCAAGAAAAAAATCATTAATAGTTCCATTACACAAATAGCTTAATTAATGATCTTGAAAATGTTCAAAGTGGCTACATTTTGTGGGAAGGGCAGGGAGATGATGTGTCTCGCATTAGTCAGACAGTTAGAATATTCTACTAGCGTACATTATATGCACTTGATTCATCCAGAACTCAAGGCAGGCTCCAATGAACCAATTTATACATCATCAAACAAGCAGTAATACAGACTCAAAGAATGCACCACTTACGTAGAAGGGAAAGCTGTTGCCATGATCTTCAGGGAATATTACGGAACTACCTGAGCTATATTTAAAACTGCCTCCTGCTTTTGAAAACCTCTGTACTTTTAGCTAATTTGAGCAGATCAACTTAACTGAAAAAAGAAACTCCCTGAAAGTTTTCTTCCTCTAAACAACTTTTCTGCTATTAGGAAATCTCTAGGTAGATCTCTTGATTTTTATCTTGACATTCTCTAAAATATAACTTGGTTGAATAGTTTAAATGCTTCTTGCTCATTACCATGCTTTTGAAATACAGAATTAGTCATCCAAGAGATAAAGTTCTTTTTTTACACACTGAGTCCTGGTCCCTAACTCTAGATGGAATGAACAAGCAGAGGAACTCTCCAAGGATATTCCCAGAGGTGAGCCATATCAGTATCCCCCCCATTAAAGTCAACATAGAGAGGATACATCTTCATGCCGTGTGGAGCTCTGGACGATGGCAAAGAACTGACTGTCCCAGAAAGTATAAGAGAAGTAAGTTGTCCCCCAGTTTGACCAAATTTACTTTAACTCACTTATAATTCTTCCTAGTTGTAATAAAGTGAACATTTGCCAAACTACACGCTAAGGTATTTTTAAAAAGCAATCAAATTATTACAGGTTAGATTTCTTATATCCCAAGAACAAACAATTTTTAAAGAAAATACACATCATTTTTAGAATACAAATAGATCAAACTGTAAGGTTAGAGTACATGAAGTTATTTTTATACTTATATAGTTTCGGCCTACGATCACTTCTATTTTTAAAAGCCTAAATAAAATAGTAAATGAGTTATATCAATAGTAAATTCATGCAGTACTATAAAAATTGTGGTGGCTCTTATTTGGGGCATGGTTTGTTCCCATTCAACACCACCCTTTTCCTGTAAGGTAAGTATTTGCTCATAAATTAAAAGTCAGTTATATAATAGTGGTCTTCATATACAAAACCTACATGAGTAAGATAAGACAAATAAGATAAAATAAAAGAACAGGAGGTGGTGAGAAGCGGTACTTTATGATTATCTGAAGATCAAAATGTTTAGGCAAGGTTTAGTCTCTGTTACCTTGCAATTGGATTCCCCATCAAGACTGGCTGTAGTGACATAACAGGTTCCATCAGTGGTGCAAGATGATAGAAGAATAAGATCACAGGGAAAGGTTTCATCAGCCTGTACTTCCACTACATCACCAACCTAGAATGGAAAGAAATACAGATATAAATATTTTAAATTCCAAACAAAATATTCATTATACCTCACACTAAAGTCAAACCATTAGCAAGAGATATCTCCAGCTCTGGGCTTTGAGAGTATCTCAACATCCTATACCACCTGAAAGGTAATAAAAGAATATTACTCAACATTCAGAATCCTCTTAAAGATCACAAGGACTTCGGATTCTTGCAGATTACCTTAGCACTGACCTTTAACTCTAATAAATGATTCCAACACCTGTTTGCTCTCTGATCTTTCTGGCACTAAAGTTTTATAAGAAAACAACCATTATCACTTTATCAATAAATCAAGAAAATCTACATGTCACAAGTTGGGCACTCATGAATACTGAGCAGCTACATTCCCACTCTGCATGCACCATGCATATTTCCACATACTTTGCCTGCCATGTGATAACAATTGATTTCTGGGTGCCAGTTCCTTCTTCAGTGCTCAGAAAACCTCTGTTAATTAGAGAGGCATTGGTTTTTCCCGTAAGATTTGAAAAAATATTTTTTCTATAGATCACTTTCCAAGAATTCATCTGCTATCAGAAGAGTCAATTAATATAGCAATGAGAAACAATTTCGTACCAGCAAGTAACCAAAGCACAAGTAGAGAAATAAAACATGAGATAAGAAATTATGAACAATTTAATAACATAGGGAATAAATCGTAATAGTTAAAAGCTTAGACTTTTTAACATGAGCTCATGTCCGAGCTCTGCCACTTAACTATATGACCTTGGGTAAGTGTCTTAGATGATTGCAACTACCTCAGAGGACTGATGTGAGCATGAAATGATGATACCGGTAAAGCATTAAGCAAAGTGCCTAGTACATATTAACCATTTGTCAAGTATTAATTATTACTAATACCCTGTAACTACTTTACTCTCAACCTATGAATAGTATTAACACTTTTTTGGAAGGATGTAAGAAATCCTCTAGTCTGGTGCTTCCCAATATTTTTCATACCATGGTACATATGGAAAATGATAAATAATACTTTTATACAGCACCCTCAGGTAAACGGGAGAGGCTGCTGGATGCAGAAGAGGGAGTCAATATTTGGCACGCTGACCTGGACACACTAGCTGTGAAATGCTGAACTAATACATGGAACACCTGTCTTCTATTTGCAATATGATTTGGCAGATAAAGATGAGGACTTCAATACTTATTCAGGAATAATTTTATTTTCTTTGCCAACCTTAATCAGTAGCCAAGAGCAACAGCATCAATAATTTAACTAATTGGTAAATAATATTTCATTTTGTTGGATTTTTCCTTCCTCACTTCCATAAACACTTATGTTGCTTACATAAAACTACAATCTCTGCTTAAATATGCAGAAGAAAGATAACAAACAAAATCCTAACACATCTTAGAAGAAGGAAATACTCATTAGAGGTTGGAAAATTACCCTCAGGCACTGGTAAATAAAACACACAAAGGGACCACTTTCTTCAACACTTATGATTCACTCAGATATGAAATATAAAGGTCCCTGCGTCTGCAGTGCAAGTTGAGACTGCTGAGATGGACAGGAGCCAGATTAAAAAGGGCTTCACAGGCCAGGCCAAGGGATTCAGGCCTCACCCTGAAGGCAAAGCTACAGGACTTTTAAAGAAAAGGAATGACATGATCCAGCTAGACAATCAACTCTAGAGTTCTGTTTCTGTAATACTAACCATTTTAAAAGCCACAAGAAAACATCACCACTGCCCATTGTAAATATTAGAACAAAATAGATAATCTAAAAAATAAAATGTTTAGTCCATCAGAGAGCTGAGGTTGCCAAGGCAACCAAGTAAACTGAATTTCAAAGAATAACAAGTCCTTGTGAGGAGAGATAGGGCAGTTGAACTGTTTCACAACTGACAGCACAGGAGGAAGAGATGGTTACCATAAAAGTGGGTAAGAAGAAAACAACTAGATTTTTAACCAATTCTTAAAGGTTGGATGTGCGCTAATATGACAGTTTATAATCTCTATAAGCCTGAGAGACAAGAGGATAACCACTCACTAGCTCTTCTTCACAGGCTTCCACTGGATACTCATGAGAAAGCCTGAGGGCAGAAGACTGAAAAGAACTCTCCTCATTGGTATAGTCATACAGGTAGTGACTGACTGCTGTGGAGAGACAGGCACAAAACATGCCAGAATTGTGGACCCCTCTCTCATATGAAGCAAAAGCCATCTGCATCTAGGAGAAAGGCAGGAAACCTTCCCTGGCATAGTCTCAGGGAAACATCACTACTGCTAGACAGGAAGAAACAAACGCAACCTGATGTAGGGGATGAGACAGGAAACTCACCTGTACCAAGGACCTGGCACTGATACAAGGCAAAAGTTCAGCTACTGTGGGAGGTGGGGTGGAAATATTGAGAAAGTCTCTCAGCCTGAGGTTCAGGTGTATAAGGCCTGCCTAATACTGAGACAGGAACAAGAGAACCAAGAAACCAATCTGTTCCCACCAGGAACCTTACACTGAATAATAAATAGCAGTCTATAACTGGAAGAGAAGCAAGGGAACAGGGAGAGGCATTTTCTGTGACTTATAAGTGCAGGATGTACTGAGAGCAGATGGTAGAAAAGGAACACCGTGAAAAACCCTCCGGCATACCAGACCCTACACACAGTTCAAGGCAATAGCATTCTACCACTCAAGGAATTTGAAGTCCAGTGGCACAATGAAAGTATCAATAGTTACAACAAAATCCAAAACTAGTCCAACTCCTGACTAGATTGACTCAAACCCCAATGATAGTGGCCTGACAGAAAAAGCTGGGCCCATTTCAGAAGATACATACTACTTACTTCAGCCTGTACCATTACCATTCTTTTACTTATAATGTTTAAAATTTTATTAAAAAATATAAGATGCATAAAAACACAAGGAAAAAATGAGCCTTCACTGAAAGATAAAGGACTCAATGGGATCAAACCTACGATTGTCCAGGTTTTGGAATTATGAAACAGGGACTAAAAATAGCTATGACTAATATGTTAAAGTACTTAGTCAAAAAGGTAAACAACATACAAGAGTGGATTTTGGCAGAAGGATGGATACTACCTACAAAAAAAAAGCAAAATGCAAAGTTAAAAATGAAAAACATAGTTTTCACCCAGAGGAGGGGAAAAAAAAACAGTAAGCCTGAAGAAAGGTCAACTAAAATTATACAAAATGATATACAAAGGGCAAAAAAGGAGTATATTTAAAAAAGAACAGATTACTCAAGAGGTTTAAGAAAATATTGCAATCTAACAGTCATGTAATAGGAGTCCCAGAAGAAGAGAAAGAGAATGAGGCAGAAAAAAATGTGAAGAGATAATGACCACGAATGATTCAAAGTTAATCAAAGCCAACAAATAATTGATCCAAGAGCGCTTCAAGGAGGATAACTACAATGAAAAACAAAATCTAGGCATAACATAGTCAAATTGCTGAAAATCGAAAATAAAAGGAAAAACTTGAAGGCATCAAAAAAACATTACATACAGAGGAAAAAAATTTAAATGACAACAGACTTATCAGAAACTATGCAACCAGAAGACAATGGAGTAACATGTTTAAAGTACTGAAAGAAAAAAACCTCCAGTCCCTAATCAGGACACCCAGAAAAATAATTTTTGTAATTGAAGGTGACATGAAAACTTTTCCATACAAACATAAGCTAAGATAATTCACTTCTAGCAGACTTACACTATAAAATATTAATACTAAAGTCCTTCATGGGTAAAATAATATGACACTGTATGAATATTTTTATCTACATGGGGAAATACAGAATGATAAAAATGGTAAAAATGCAGATAAATATAAAACATAGTTGTTATTATTAATCTTTTTTAAAGTTTAAAAAAAGATAATTACAATCCAGCAATTCCATTCCAAGTTATATAACCAAAAGAATTAAAAGCAGAAATTCAAAGATACTTGTACACCAATGTTCACAGCACCATTATTCAAAACAGTCAAATAGTCAAAAATACTCAGAAACAACCCAAATGTCCATCAACAGATAAATGTATGAACAAACTGTGTTACATACATGAGATGGAATATTACTCAGCTTTAAAGGGGAAGGAAATTCTGATACATGCTACTACATGGATTAACCTTTAAAACATTATGCTAAGTGAAACAATCCAGACAAAAAAGGACAAGTATTGTATAATTCAACTTATATAAAATATCCAGGATAGTAGAATTCATAGATACAGAAAGCAGATGGGGCTGAGGAAGGGAGAATGGGAGTTATTGTCTGATAGATACAGAGTTTTGTCTGGGATAATGTAAAAGCTCTGGAAATGGATAGTGGTGATGGTTGTACAACATCGTGAATGTACTTTTGAACTGTACACTTAAAAATGGTTAAGTTAAATTTTATATTATGTATATTTTATCACAAATATAGACAACTGTCTAAAGCAAAAATACTAACATTGTGAGCTTCATGAAATGTAGAAGTAAAATGTATGACAACAATAACACAAAGGATGTGAATGAGGAAATGAAAGTATACTGTTGTAAGATTCTTACATTCTACATGCAGTAGTATAATACTATTTGAAGCTAAGATTAATACTTTAAAATATATATCATTAACTCTAGAGCAATCATTTAAATAATTTACAATAGTATGTATAATTAGTAAGCCAACAGAGAAGATACAATGATATTACCAAAAAATGCTCAAATAATCCAAAAGAGGGCAAGTAAAGAGGGAAAAAAAAGAATAGATGAGGCAGACAACCAAACCATATCAACAATTACACTAAATATAAATGGTCTCAATCCAATTAAAAGACAGGGACTGTGAGACTGGATTTTAAAAATAATACCTAAGTAGGAATATAAAGACATA